TATATATATATATATATATATATATATATTATATATATATATAAGGTTGAAAATCCCAAGTCAGAGAAACAAAAACACGGAAGGTTTATTTCAACGTTTCAGCAAGAGTCTTGCCTTCATCAGGAATGGCAACACAGTTCATGTGTGACGCGTTTTATCCAAATCCTTAAAGAAGAGAGAGGGGGAGGGGAAGGGACAACATTTGGAGGTCACGAGAAAGCATAACCAAGCATGGGGGACAATATAAAAAAAAAGGGGTGGGGGGGGGGGGGGGAGAGAAGCAACTATACCGGACAAGATGACGAGGGTTTCACCAGATAAACATACAAAGGGCGTATAAGTCGACAGTACTACCGTAGAAAGTGGTAACAATGCATGACCTAAATATTGTTCTCAACGCGATATGAGGAGTTAGCGAACGGAAGCTCTTGGAATGGGCCAGAATACAGAACTTAAAAAGAGGGGAGGGGGGGGGGGGTGAGAGACACGGACACTGGTTATACCCTGTTTCTAGCCTCAAGTACGGCACCACTATATAATAGAGTCTGTAGAAGTTTGTGTTCAACACTCTATTACGCCTGGCACTTATTGTCTCGGTTTTGATAGCAATTCGATTGATGCGAGCGTTCCGGGGCTTTCGTTTATGCCTTTTTCAATTGTGTTGAAACGATAAATAAGATAGGACTCGCGTTGTTCACGTTCTCGGTTTGACTTGAATCCTGTCTCTAAGAGCGTAACCGTTAGTTTATTGAAGGAGTGTTTTGGCAGGCACACATGTTTTGACAGAGGAAGATTTGGGAGAGATACTGCGTGCGCCCTATGGTTGCTAAAGCGCAATCTAAAAGCTGTTTCGGTTTGTCCTACGTATTGCATGTCGCATACGCTACACTGAAGCAGGTAAATAACGTTTGATGAATCGCACGAGAGCTGACTTCGGATCTTGATATTGAATTGCGAACCGGTGCTGCTGGCTGTGCTGGTTTCTCGCATTTGTTTGCATATTAGACATTTAGTTTTCATTCAGGGTTTGCATCCATTATTAGACTGTGACACATTTAGTTCGGATTTCACTAGGGTATCTTTGAGGTTGCGCGATCGTCGATAAATTACGCCAGGTGCTGATGGAAACGCCCGCTTAGGACGTTCACTTTGTTCGAGGATATTATAATGTCGTCTCAAGATGTTATTCACTTGAGGATAATTGCTGCTATATGTGAGGCATAGGTTAGTGCTTTGTGTGTCACGTTGCTTTGTGCGGTTCTCCAAGAGATCAGCGCGGTTCAATTCGGAAGCTTTCTTAATTGCGTCGTCAATCACGCGGGGGGGGGGGGGGGGGGGGGATATTTCTGATGCCTGAGTACGGTTCTTAGTTTTTCTGCGTTTATATCAAAGTCATCCTTTTTCGCTCATATACGTTTAAAGCGATAGGCTTGGCTATAAGGTATGCTATTTTTGCAATGACGTGGGTGGTCGCTCCTATAGTGAAGGTACTGCTGTCGGTCTGATGGTTTGCGGTACAGTTTTGTTGTCAGTTTGCCATTGTCTATCGTCACAGTGACGTCCAGGAACTTGACACTGGTACTAGAGTAGACGGGGGGTGAACTTGATGGTAGGGTGAGCTTGATTGTACTTGTTTATAAAATAACGCAACTCATCTTCGCCATGTGTCCAGATAATAAAAATGTCGTCAATAAATCTTTTGTAAACAAGTGGTTGGAAAGGGTTGTCAGCTAGAAATTTTGATTCTAGCATTCCCACAAATACGTTAGCATAACTCGGTGCCATTTTGGCACCGAGTTATGCTAACATTTGTTGCGTTGAGCTCTATCGTTGGTCGTTGTTCGCAGCGAGATCCTGAAACCACCGCCATTCACGAGTTACAAAACACAGAGTGCGGCCATGCCCGATCATCTTATCGCTCAGTGGCCAATGAGATGGCTGCTGTAGTTGATAAAGTCTCTGAAAAACTAATCCTAGCACAATAAGTATTACCACGACAGCCCACGTCAAGCGTCTTTTAGTTACGTATACAGCTCGCATTTCTTTGCTCGCACTACCAAAAAAGTATATCGATTGGAAGGCAATCCTGTCTCTTACACGATATCCAAAAGAGGGATCAATTACAATTACAATCTGTTAAAAAGTATTCAGTTGATCTCTAGATTACTCGAGAAGAAAAGTAAATGACCAATACTCATCAAAGCTACCTGTATTTCTCCGATTACTTGTACATTTCCAGAAACGCAAATTTTTCTGCCGGTTTGAAAATATATTTTTTGGCACTCTCCCTTATTGGATTAGGGTACCCGAATTACAAACCAGTTATTTTCTATATACACCAATTTTCGTTAGATCATCCTCGTGTCAGAGACGTAGTGCGAGGATTTCTCGGTGGGAACGGTCTAGAGAAAAGGAGAGACATTAAAGAAGGGAGGGAGAGGTTGTAAAGATGAATGTAATAATAGTACTTCCCAAAGTAATCAGAGTCCTCTCGCGATTACCTTCTAATAAACGTATTCCAACGATTATAAAAATTACTCTAAAAAGTAATCAGTAATTTCATTACTTGTAGTCATTACAGTACAATTCTTGGGAGAAATGTGTCATTCTTCTAGTTGAACGTGCACTCCACCCCAACCCTAGCCGTTTTTTTTTCTCTCTCCCTTTTGTTTTTGTTAGTTTTTGGGCGCTCAATGTAGGCTACATTTTAGCATGCGCAACGCAGGACAACTGAGGGTATCGTGTCGCGTGAATATACCCCAATGTGGACAGCAAGTCGTCTGCTTCCTGCGCAGGACTTTCGTTGACGTCACAACAACGCCGAGCTCTGATTGGCTTTCATTGAAGGGATTGTCGGTAGATCTGAATGGTAGATTTCTTGACGTCTAGCCGCGCTATTTTTTTTTTTTTCACTCAGACTATAAGAGTGCGGTGTTTTGACATCATCGCAACCCCTGTGCAAGATGCAGACGAACTTGCGCTCCGCATACGTTGCGAGGCGCGCGCCACTTGAAAGTCCTTGTCCTCTTCATTGTCCCATGCTCTATACTCTGTTTCACCATACTCAAACGTGGTGTTCACCAAAACAAGCCCGCTTTCCCCACACCAGGTGTGGGCATTCCCCGTTAGCAGAAACCTAATTCGGGAGGAGTGACACTTTTGCGCGTGCGCAGCACAGACAGCAGCGCCACCACTGCGGCGTGATGTCAGTGAGTTGAGTTGTTTTCTAGGTACTTTTTTTTTTATGCGTATTCGTGACAGCTGATGGCTACCATCCACGGAGAAAGCTATTTGAACGACGGGGCAGAAATTATGTCTAGACCTAAAAACAAAATAAAAAAACAGAGTCATCTGTAAAACTTAAAACTCTGTGATACTCCTACGTTCAGCGAGAATGTAAACTGCTTTTTAAGGTCCAAGCATATTTTGAGCGTCGCAATTCGCCGCCTCTCTCCGTACGTTGTATAGCGACTGCCTCTCCGGAGTGCTTGGCGGAAAGGTAGACGCGATTGATATTTCAGTGGTTAATATCCTCCGAATCCTAAACATGTATATATATATATATATATATATATATATATATATATATATATATATATATATATATATATATATATATGACGAAGGCCGGACTCCGGCCGAAACGTCGAAGATTAAATCGTCCGTTGTTGCTGTTTTTCACTAAGGGTTTTTTTCTTCTCAGTTTTTTTCTTCTCAGTTTTATACCCACGCCTTCGGCCTCCCGCCACCATGCCCGTTATATATATATTTATCTATTTATTTATTTACAGCGATTTTTATCTTTTTAGTTATATGACGCCAGAAATGTAAAATTTGAGGAGCGATCGTTTACATTTTTTTAAGAGACACTATATAGTTAATTGTTTCGGGTAGTGATGAACCTTTATATAATTATTAATTTTCCCGCCGAATTTAACGGGGTAAACTAACTTGTTCCAAACGTCACCTGACATCAATTTTCCGGCTATATCTTGCGGAAACCTAAATTTGTATAGTAAGTCGCGTCAAGTCACGTGACATCAATTTTCCCGCTCATTTTTAACTGAGAAATTGAGTTGACGTAGAGGTTTCGTTGCGTCACATCAATTGGCCCTATTTTTCCGCCAAAATGAGAGGGAAAACTGAATTGATGTACGCGTCACGTAACATAAATTTCATTCAGCGAGCCAATTTAACTGGTGTGTAGGTCACTTAATGTCAACTTCTCCGCTAAATTTAGCGGGAAATGCGCTGACGGACGGACAGACGGACGGACGGATGGATGGATAAAAATGTTGAGAGGTGGAGGGGGATTCATTAAAAAGCATATCATGCTTTAAAAACATTCATACCTTTAGTTCCAGCAGGTAAGGCAGTTGGTCCGATGCTGGTTTCTGGGGAATACCGGTTGCCAAAACGCCACGCAACGCTGCCATCAGTCGGGTTAAATGCCCACTTGCACAAGGTCCAGTCTCCAAAGTCACAGTTTAAGAGCTCGTCCACTGGAACAGAAAAAAAGACGTTGTGCCGGCATAAGTTCTACGAAAAGAGAGAATAAACAGCGCGTATAGAGATATTGCCAACGGCATCTTTGGTCATGCCTGACAACATCGGCTTCCGTAAAACAGGATTTTGGGTCGGTAAATCTCAGTCTACGCTGCAGAACCCAGGGATCCTGGGTTCAATCCCCGCCCCTACCCGCTTAGAACTGGATGAGCATCGTACCGGCGTGTGGTCGTACATCACTACTCCGTGATGCACGTCAAAGTACCCCAGGCTAGCGGTTGTACTGCAATGTCTAAATTGCTCATCTACATTGGGGAGACTCGTCGCCCGTTGAGGAAGACCAAGTTCTAGGCTGTATAAACATACACAAAACCCAATTTTTTTTTTAAACCTCCGTTTAGCCGTTTATATATAATGAGACACATCTGAAACGTCCGACGAAAACGTTCTTGGTGTTTGCAGTTATTGTCACACGTTGACTTACTCCAACCAATGGTAGCGAGGCGCCACCCTCGAGGGAGCTCTGCAACACTAGATGCCGTTCTTTCCGATGTAACGGTTTTGCATCTCGCTTTTTTGTATCACGTTTCAACCAAGCATAGTTCGAGGCACCAGGCTCCTGATTGCAGGTTCGGCTTTATTCGCACACTCGGAATCGTCCCGTAAACAAACTAGATATTTTGCGAGGAGAACTGTGAACTCGACATCGACTGCAACTCCCTCAATAGGATCCTACATCTGCCACCTTAAAAAAAAAAAAAAAAAACACCATCTGAGAGTATTAACACAAAACTTTAAAGACGACCGCGATGTTGGGGCATATATTGCAAATAAAAGAAAACGTCACTCGCAAGCGCAGGAGAAAAGAAACGCTGAAGAAAACACCCTTCAACAACGCTTCTTAGATAGAACAATGTCGTCATGCTGGTTTTACTGTCAGCACGGGCGCAGGTTGGACAGAAGTTCCCGTCAGCCTTGAGGTTGGGACGCGTGTCCCAAGTGATTGGATGTGAGTTCCAGCCGATCACTAACGCTGTGCTCGTGGTCAATCATGAGCTGCGCCAGCTTCCGAAAGGTGACGTGGAATATCAAGCACTAGGGCCTTGTCACCTGCAGGGGCTGTGTCCTGACGCACCAGTAATCACACGCCCTTTCCGCAGAGACATCTCACTACTAAATCGTATCTTGAAGGCATCATGCCAGAAATTTATAGAGCGGAAATACCATCCTGTAGGTGAGTCCGAACGCTACCGCTAGAAAGAGTGTCGGGTTTTGCACTTATTCGCGTCTCCAGCTCGTTGCTCACCCTCCCGCGGTGAAAACGGGAAGCACTCTAGTGAGGGTCCCCCGATACTCCTGTTCAGGGGGCACGGCGGAAATGCGCGCGTTCATGGCTCGCGAAATGTCATTTCCGAACGCAAACAACACCCTTCATTGTCCCAGCGAACTGCTGCAGCCGGTATGGGATTGTACCTTACCAGAGAGTTTTAGTATTGTGCATAGAAGCAAACGAAAGCGTTGTGCGTTTGCGTTAGAGTTGCGTGTCCCACGTTTTGCGTGCTCCGCATCGCCTTGCGCCAATATAAAACCGCTATTTTGGGCTCCAAGCACGCGCTAACGCAAACGCAGAGAGCTTGCGTTCGCTCGTATACGCAATACTAAAGTTCACAACTGTTTCGCCGGCTTCCAACGCCAACGCAACATGCTGCAGTGAGCAGACGTGCAAGCAGGTAGGCGTTCCTTCGGACTGAAAAGGCTGAGATTGACAAAACGACGGCGCGTAAAAATGAAAGTAACTGGGTGTTATGAAAAGATTGATAATTTAAAAATATATATATTCCTTTTTTTTATTTTTACTATTTTTTTATTTTGTGGCCTTTAGTCTGGAAGGATTTTTGCGCCGACTTTGTAACTTTTGCCGATGGTCAGAAGCCGCGATTTTGATACCAAAATATGCTTTAACCACAAGTAATGAAATTTTACATAAATTTATCATATTAGCGAAGATGTTTTGATTGACTTTAGACTAATTTTATTTTATAACATAACAATTAAAAGTGGTGCATTTGGCACGGGTGAAGAAAATTAGGACACTTTTTATTTTCATAATTGTTCGCGCGTTTGAAATTAGATTATAGGCGCCTTAAAGCTAGAAAAATTGCGTATTAAAATATCTGGATTTTAATATTATTATAATTAATAATACAAATCACGGCAATGTATGCCCCCAGTTAACGCAATAATCACAAGAATACGCCATTTAACCATAATAATCTTTCCAGAAAGGTATCATTTTTTGTCTCTCTTTTTAGCTTATGAAAAACTCTGACATCGATATTAAGATAGACAAACAGTCAAACACTGGTTGCAATATAAAGTCCTATGCATCAGGCGTTCCTTTAAAAAACACACGCTTCAGCTGTCTGACTCGGATTCCGTCTTTGGGTTGTTGTAGTGAGAACAGCGTTTATTAATTTGTGCGTTTCGTGAAGATATCGTAAAGATTGTATTTACTCTGTTATTCTTGTGCTCGGAATAATGTTAAAGCGATTAATCAACCAAATACCCAAAACCCATTAAAGGTCTCGCAGTTAATTATTTTATATGACAATTATCTGAGCGAGAAGAGTCTGCAAGAACCCACAAATATCAGCACACATTTTTCAACAAATACAATATTCTATGTTACCTCCAAGGTGTATGAAAAACCCTGAAATCTCTAAAATATATTGAAGTGCCTGGATGCCACATGTACATGTCACAAAATAAAGTTTCCACAAAATACTTCTCTAACTAAATAATTACTATGTGAGACACATCTTGAGTTATGAAAGAATCCTAAATTAAGACACATACCGAGGATTTATTTCCAAAATAGAGGTTAGTTTTCGTTTCGCTCCAGATTTAAAACGTGGATCCTTGCGTAAATATTACGCTAAGCAATGTTTTTGTTTTCAAAATAAAGAGGTGACCTTCGGCCATAACATCCTGGCTTCCGCGTATTACCAGAAATAATTTGTGTCGCTCAGTGAAGCCAGCACACTAGACAGGCTCAGCAGTGGCAAGGATCTCCGACCCTCACTATAATCACCATTTCGGAAAACGAGTGGCGCCACCTATAGTGAGTTAGAGTCGCATATACTGCTGTGCTTGGAACGTGTCTCCGCCCGGTGCGTATAGCGTTCCGATCCCACCTATACACCAACTCCACTCTCTCTGACGTCATCACCAATGCGGTGGCGTTGTTGTCGTTCCTGCGCATGCGTACATTGCCCACACCAAGTTTTAGGATGACCACATTCATGTTAGCGAAATGCGGGACACGTGGCGGGGCAGGAAGGCGGGGGGGGGGGGGGGGGGAGGACATTTATTAACACGGATACCACGAACCGAGGCTCTGTTAACACATTTCATATCCTGTGCTGTTTATACACCTGCTATCTGTATTGCGGCAATCAAGCTCATGTGATTTTCACTCCCAGTGACATAATTTTTAGGTCAATTATGTTATTAAATGTGGCGAAGTTGAAAACATAAAAATCGACTGTAGAGCTCAATGCATCGAAAGGAAATAAAGAAGCTCTAAATCTTTTACGGGTTATTGCTTCCTGTCAACCCTTACATTTATCAACATTGTCCCAGATAAATTTTTAACCTTATGTTCTTTTTCGGCCATTGGGAGTTGCAGGCTTTTTGCCTTGTGTGGCTGTCTTCAGTATTTAAAAAAAATCCACAGCATTTTTTTTATTGATGCAGCGATATGAAAATAATTGCAATATTTATATTTAAACGTTTGGCCAACAATTTTTTCTTACAGTATTTTTCCACCAAAAGGAGAGGCACAACGACGCATGCGCATCGGTCCTCCTGCAAGAACGACGGTCACTTTCCGCAATGCTTGGATGGAAAATGGCGTACCCATGCAACTCACACGATTACAAGTAACCTCCGCGCTTGCCCGCTCCCCATTGTTCGGTAGCACCATGAGCTGCAGAGTGAATTTTACGGCAGTGTGAAATGCGGGACATGTTGAAGATTGGGGGATTTCTTGCGAGACGTGGGACACGAGTCCTCAATGCGGGAGAGTCCCGCGAGTCGCGAGATGGGTGGTCACCCTACCCGGTTTGGGCAAGCGCCAAAAAAAAACAAAACAAAAAAAGAAACGAGCCAACACGCGAGTGTCGTTGTCGTCGTGCCCAACTACTGAAGCTATTGCGAACTTTCCGGGTCTGCGCAACAGGCGCCTGCCCCATCCTCCGTCGCACGCTGTGACACTGCCAGGACTGCGACCGGCGACGACATGGCTTTTCTAGGACCTCACTAGGCGGGAACCGAGGGACCACTTTTTGAGGATGCCGTAAACACACCCATCAGAGGCACATTATATGCTCCATACACCAATACTCGATTTGTGCGCTACTCGTAACAGGTAATTAAATTACTTGTAACCGACACTAATTCGGGAAAAGTTTTATTATTTTAAATACTTTAGTTATATAGTATTCACAAAAACAACCAAATTACTCCTTAAAGAAATACACATATGTCTAACCGTTACAACGTTCCCGTCCCTATCCACATTCCGCACTTTCGTATCCACAATCCTCCTACGCAGGAACCTACGAACAAACTCTCCGACAGGCAGACGGTCTACCAAAGGTGGTGAAATTCAGGGATGAGTAATTTGTAATCTGGTGATTTTAGTCCGATAATGGACAGTACGAAATGGTCATTTTCCGAATCGACAAGAAGATGAGCTGATTTAAAAAATACGAAGTAATGCGAAAAGTACCGATTGCTTTTTTGAGTAAGGGTCAAATTCTTTTCCTCTCAAGTAATCGAGTAGTCTAATTTAATGTTTTTAATCAAGAGTAATAGTAATCGCAATCGAGCATCATATAAGTAATATGTTCAAGACTGATCTACTCACGTGCATAAGGGGAAGCACTTCGCATAAGCGTACAAAAACTTTGCATGCGCGTTAGGTCTAACGAACTTTTTATAATAGTTAGAACGATATCCTTACTTTTAGGGGCATAAAATGAAATGCAAATTAGTGGTACTAGTCGTAGCAGTAAGCGATGGTTTCAATTAATAAAAAATTAAAACTGTGCTCAACAGCCACAACGCAAGTGCGAAATTAATTGTTTCTCATTATAGGTTCTAAATGGAATATCGTTTCTTTAAGCAATGTCCTCTCTCTTTTTTTATTTCATTTGTAGCACGGAACATATACGCGTGCGCCGGAGAGAAAAAAGTGAATAAAATAGACGGAAAAAAAAGGAAACTTCCGAACGTTTCCAGAGGGAAGAAATCTAAGCTAGGCCGTCAAGAGCTTTAGCCCAACACTTTATCGCTCTGCGAAAGAAAAACCTTGCTGAGCAACCATTATTGTCTACAACTCTCTTTTCTTTATCGCGTGCGTCAGCAGGTCACAGGCGATGATTCGATAAGTGGATGTCCGGTAGCATTTAGGATGGTTTGAAGAAGAAAGAAGCGAACTAAAGCGAAGATAGCTGAAGATAAGCGATAACACACTGAGTATGACCAGCTTTTGTCGATTGAACGCGTGTGGCCATTTTGTGCATAGTTATGTGCTCTAATGTTCGGTGAAATTTAATTACCGGATTATGCCCTTCATAAAAGACAGGCAACGTTATCGCATTTCGACGTAGTCTGTGACGAAGCACGCTAAAAACACAGTCAGTTCCTCAAAAGTTTACTTGAAATCTTATGATACACCACAGCTGCCAAGGTTCCACGAAATCCCAAGGATATTTTTTTTTTGTGCATGATTTAACATCCCTTAAATATTAGGGCACGGAGACCACACGAAACACTTACCAGGAGTATTCTGTGGCGAGGGTTTAGGAAACGTTTCACAAGAATCGTTGGCGTATATCCTGATGTCATCGAGAGCTATATAGCCACGTTCTGTCCCAGTGACAGCCTCGAAAATAACCTGCAGGAACATTTTTCGCAATCATCAACATCGATAGTCATGGGGAGCACAAAGAACGACGCAAGTTACCTTAATGGTAGGTCAGCAATAGCCAAATTAGAATGTAGCGAACCTGCCCAAGTCCGAGTTTGACCAGGTCGATATTTTTTATAGCTTTTAATACACAGCTCTGCAAAACTTAGAGTTAACTTTGCGGTCTAATTTCCAAACCAACAAGGATGCATTTACGGCGATTTTCTGAAAGCGTTTTGTGCGATAGTTTTAGAATTATTAACTGTCTTTTTCCAACCACAAGCTGCATTCCTTTAAACTGTTACCAAGGACTCGCCAGGCTACATTAATCCAAATAAGCGAAACCTTACTCACTATATTGGACGACAAAATTGGACGACTATCGGCATGCGCGGAAATTGTGACGGAGCTCACGCCACCTGGCGCGGAAGAGAAACGAGCTCACAAAATAATTTAATTATTATATCATGTTCCATCTGCAATATTTTCAAGTACTTCAAAAGAGGAACAATCCAAATATTGGGATGCATTAACCTCGTTGATCCAATGAGAGTAAACGTTTCAAAAGATTCTAAAATAGAAAATCTTGGTACCCATCTATTGAAATAATATAGTAAAAACAATTTTAATGCTGCGTTTTCATTGGCGATTATTTTCTATAATCTATATTAAACGTTTGTACATGAGTGCTTTTTCCCTTTAAAACGCAAGCGAGCCAAACTGTTCAAAATTTACGATAAGGAAAGGGGGACATTGAAGACAGACAGACAAGAACTGTCTTGTCCGTTTGCCTTCAATGTCCCTCTTTTTTTATCGTAAATTAGAAACCAATACGCTCAACCATCTACATTGTTCAAAATTTAATCTCTTAAATCTTGCCAAAACTTCGAATCGTTGGTGAACCAGTTGAACTTCAAAGTTCGTAAAAATATCCGCAACCTGCTTCGTCAAAAACCGTTTATAGAAATAACTTTAAATGAAAACACGCCAAAGTAGGTAAAACAATTAAAAAAAACCGTCACCGAACAGTTTATTTGGTAATAAAGCGGTAGCTTTGAAACCTGTAGCTTTATAGGGCCAACTAGCCTAGGGAGCCGCGTAAGCGCGATACGTGCAAATCCGTCAGTCCGTAACCGCTGAACGATGAAAGAAAAAACGGCAAGCTGTGACAAAGGTCTACATTTAGAAAAAAAAAGCAGTTGGTCTAATGCACAACTTTGCTTTCATGTACACACCGCTCCGTTTTCTCAGGAGTATAAAATTTTGATCTTTGAACAACTCTACATTTGAAAACTTGCACTCTACATATTCCATGACCATATACTTCAACAACGTAGCTATGCATCTGCATGCACTAGACCCGACCGCCATTACCAAGACTCGAAATGAAAAGTATATACCCCCAAAATCAGGGCTAACATGGGCAGACAAACACTCTCATTTCGAATACCAGGCTTATTTTATACGCACTGTTATCTTCATACACTTATTACGGCGAATTTATCACTAAACACATACAAAAGCATTCTGAAAGTTACTTTGTTGCCCACAAATGTTACAAAGTGATCTGAAATTGCTGGTTTTATCCAGTTTGCTATATCTGCTTTTTTTATGCTTCCTTGTTTTATAGTATAAAAACGTGTACTACATAAATTATATTATATGTATTAATTTTTTTGTATTCCTTAACCTTATTTAAGAGCGATACTTGTTTTAGTGCGCTCTGCTGTCGACGAGTTTCATTGTATTTTTTAATATTTCATTTATCTAGCGGTACCAAGGCCTCGTCAGATCTTCTGGTCTTTTACGTTGGTAGTGCAGACTAAATGTATTGTCTAAACTGACTGAAATTAAAAAAAAAAAAAATCAGTCAACGCATTGGGAGCCGAGTGCGCTACTATATCAGCTACGGACCCAGCACGCAGGAACGGGGGGACAGGAAGCAGGTATGAGAAATCGTGCGGAGCTGAGAAGGGTGGAGAAGGCAAGAAAAAAAGGATCAGAAACAGGTGGTGTAGAAATTGCACCCAGAAGGAGGAGTGGAAAGGGCAGGAAATTGCGCTTCCCCTCTCGGTTACCCGAAGAGGTAGCGCTAAGGCTTTGTATCCGAGTGGTGCGGAAGGGAAGCGCGCGCAGTGTCACGAAGGGCAATGGTGTGATGTAATCTGTTCGTTTTTTATCAAAAATCCTGCCCTAGGCACCACTTGAACTAAGAGCACCGCCCACCAGACACGCCAGGCACTTGAAAACTAAGGGTCATCCTTTCCTGGACACCAGCCACCCTTAAAGTTACCGTATTTAAACGTGCTTGCCAGAATGACCAAACATCGAGCCAAGATTTTATTGGTTTATGTTGTTCACCGTTTTTCCGCGGGTGTAATTTATTTTCTGGACAACGTTCTGAAGTGATTCTTTTTTTCTGTATGAAGTTTCCATAAATGGGGGCGAGATGGGAATCACGTGCAACCTTCCGCAGGCAACACGCCCCTACTTTGTTTATATATTTGTTTTTTTGTGAAGAAACTTTTCTGTCTCATATTCTGGTTCTTGGTGTTCTTGTTAAATAAATATTGACAACCGTCTTGGACGTTAAATGTTTAGATAAACCTCTCAGATAGAGAAGATATACACACGAATCAACTTAACTTACATCGGAAATGGAACACAACTAGTGCCCTCTAGGCGACAGATCCATCGCTTGAAACATTTCTTTTGAAGGAGTCCCGGTTATGACGGCATCTCTCCGAGACTGGCGCAGCGCGCTACTAAAAGGGCCAACCAGTGCTAGCCGATAGTTGAGCAATCTGAGGTTAACTGTTACCATGTATAACAAGAACTTACCCTAGTCTTCTCCGAGAGTGCAATTCGCCCAAGCAGCCAGGTGTCAAATTCTCCACCTCCTGCTTCCCATATGACGTCTTGATTCTTGTCATAATTGATGTTTTTGAACAGTGACGTCGATTTCACCTAGAATGTAAAAAAGAAAAAAATTATGCTTAATAGAATTCAGACAGTTTTTGAATACTCTACAGTTGTCCTGCTTCATTCCGAAGGCTCAGCAAGCAGCTAACAATAACAAACAAACAAAACAATTAATTGGTAGTTTAACACCAGGCCTTCGTGAGACAAGCCACTTTGAATACAATTGCTCCAAAAGCTCCAAACACACTCTTAGGCCTATACGGAACAGATGCTGCAGAGATTGTGAGCTCAAATACGGTCACATACTCTAAACAGAATTCTGACACTCTTTGCATGGGAGCTGTTGTTGAACAAAACAAAAACAGATCTTCACGGACATAACTCTTTATCTACAACTTTATTATCCGTTAACCCGATACACAAAAACAGAGTTCGAAGGTGGGCAACTCGGTGCGTATTGGTAAGCGGAGAAAACAGCGCCAAAAAGGCACAAAGAAATGTAGACGAACGTCAAACAAGTTTTCCACTTCATTACTTCCCTTATATTGAAGATGAGAAAGAAAACAAAGTCGTGAGACAGCGCTGTGTTTGTCTTTCGTCTACTTGAACTTGTCTTGTTTTGCATTGTTCTTTCCTGTTACCTATAGACCAACTCATGTTTACAAACAAAGCGGAGCGCCTCTAGCGGACGCAACCGGCGCCGCGCATGCGCGATGGAGTGTGGGAGGAAGCTTCCAGTCGCCCACAAACAAAATCATTGGAAGGCGATGTTCTCGGCGTCGGTGTGAGTGCCCGAGCACTCTTTTGCGTTATAATTGTTTATTCCACGTTTTCCAGGAAATGTCTTGTTACTTTAACGACCTCAGCGAAACTACCGAGGCTGGTTACACCGAAAAAATGTCGCGGGAATAATGTGACAGGCGGCGATTCATTCCGCATGGTCGCAGCAGAATGGGCACTAAAGCCTACTTTGCATGATGAGATTCTGCTCGTTATTTTGATTCCCGACGTCACTCGCGTTGCAAAAGCGTGGACCGTTCCTGAGATGATCTACGTCAATACTGAAAATCGCAAGCAGAATCAGACCAGGTGAATCAGGCATAACAAGTCGATGATGGTCACTGGTAACAATGATCAACATTTTCTTGTTTCTACTGTTAACACCGAGCCTCCTTACCGCAACCCATCCACAAACTTAAAACGTACATTGAGGCCGGCACTTACTTATTATCGCAATTACAGTCTCAACGCTTTGTTTGCGGGCCGCTGTCGTTTGAGCGAGCAGACAGCAAGCAGAAACATTTGAACGGGCAGACGACACTTGGAACTATCAGGCAGCCGTTTGAACTTGAAGACGCACTGAACGTAGTCCGTAGGTGGTCGGTACAACTTGGAAGTTTTGCCGCGTTCATGTTGGAACGAAACAAATAAATATGACGACCACAATTAAATTGTGAACTTAACCCAAAGTGCGTCCCACACAAACAATCGTGGTCTGACGGCGTACGGTTTTTATTTTTCACGGCACCTATCAACGTCCTGGGATGAACAGAGCTGGCAGAAAACACATGAAGACTGACCTTCAAACTTTACCCGACTTTTCTGCTAGAGCATCAGTCGCCGTGTTTTAACGATAAGGCAGGTTTTTGTCCGGTTTCTTTCAAAATACCACAGGAATGCACGTCCCGCATGGTGACGTCCGTCCACAGCCCCAGACCAGAAGTGCGCCTGACGCGTCCCCCCTCCCCCTCGCCCTCCCCCGCTCCGTGACGTAACAGAGCTGAGGTCGTTCCTTCGAGGCGCTGCTTCTTCCTTCGGGAACAACTCAACTTATCTCGCCCATGTTTTCTTATCGTTACAAGGACGTTATCCAAGTGCATATTTGAATCACACGCGTATGCATTAAAAACTGGAAGCATCCCAGGCCTATATCCTAGTTTCTTAAACAAGTGGCACGATAAAAGCCGATTTTGGTCTATCTTACACCAAATATAGATACCGAAAAACACATAATTGTAGAAAAGAAACAAAATCCCCATAACGTAGAGCACTAGTCATAACTAAAATTTTGTTTTATAGTCTTTTTTTGTTTTCATATTCAGGTTTTATTTTTGCGAATTGTTTCCTTTGATTTGGGGTTTTTCGGCGTTGGACGAAAAATAGACGTTTATTGCTGCCTATATCCGAAAATAGGAAAGGGAGAGGGTTGATAATGTTAAGATACAGGCGAGCTAGTTTGGGTTACTCATAGGTAAAACGTGAGACTACGAAATTAAAGAAACAGGACAACAACACGTCTTGATTTCTGAGGCGTCCTGCTATGTATAGAGAATGAGTATTCCACAAGCTCTAGAAAACATGCTGTGAACCGATCACTTGGAAAATGTCGCGGTACCAATAAAAGACAGAAACCAAACAACATGTGTGGTTTCGAAAAAGAAAAAAAAAAAACGAAAAAGAGGCAGTGTCGCGAACAGTGAATTGGCTACTCTCTTCTGAGTTATTGTAGAATAAAACTCTCGATAAAGATTGTTTTTTTCGTGAAGGCTAGTTATTTTTTTTTTAACGGTAACAATAAACCGCGTCGAAATCCGAAGGACAAGAAGACGAAGTATGCACACGAAACGCTGACTTTCAAATTATTTATTTTAACTAAACACAAATCTGCGTTTCACGTGGCTTGTGTTCCCTCAAAATAAATGAGTTGAGAGTCAGCGCATTATGTGTGTACTTTGTATTGTCCTTTTTTATGTTTTTCTTTTTTTTTTTTTTTGCTTATTTTTGCCGTTAACATGTACACCGAAACGCCTAACATTCCACCGTAATGCACTTCGGTTATCGCATTCAAGGAAAGCTCCAAGTTGGGGTTATGAGGTGTTCTTCGAGTCTGATCAAATTGTTTCTGAGGATAACGTTCGGATAATTGTCTCTAAATTGTATCTAAGGATAATTTCTGCAAAATCAGAGAAACCTAGCCTAAGCTCATATCCACAGAATTCTCTCTGTTCGGTAAATTCAGCAACGAAATTCTTCTGAGTCACCTGTGCAGAATCGACAACCAACATTTTTTTTTTTTTAATTTTTGAAGGGATATTTTAAGAAGACACGAATGATTAAAAGTGCCAACTTACGAGAAGTTTTGCATCTTTGCCTCCTGCCACAATGTACTGGAACTCCATGCAGTTTGTCGCCAGTCCTGCCGAAACAACCGCCTCGCTGACAAGCTGGGCTTTCGCTCCCTTGATCTGCTGGAACGAGCTGTAGAAAACGTAGGAACCTGGAAAGAAGCGAAAGGTGATCAGAACATTTCTCCCTTTCAAAAGATTTTAGGCGGACTCACTTTTTTACGAATACACTGATTAAGGGGATTTAACATCTTTCGCACTCTTCCCTTTTCTGACATTTAAATGAGGCATGCTTAGACACTGATAATTTAAGAAACTCCTGGCCTGGTTAATTATGTTCGTTTCATTTGCCTCGTGATTCGCTCTTCGGGTTTCTTGATGACTAATCGCGAAGTTGTAGTTCACCCGAAGTGATAATAATATGTTTGAGACTCGCCATGTTCTTTGTTTGTTAAGCTGTCATGTTTATAGAGTATCTTGACGAGATGTCCTTGATCCGCCATCTCTTGCTTGAGTATCAACTTTATGTATCTTCTTTATTAGGGAACGCGAATACGCAAAAATGAAAAAGAAGACGTTTTGCAATAAACGTTTGAGTATTACGTATTCTGAGCGCACAAAATATTTTGCACGCTCTCGGAGGCTTACCTGCTTCCCATCCCACCAGAAATGGCAAAGAGTGTTATACCTTCAGAATGAAGCTGGCGAACATGTAGTCCACTTGAAGGATTCAATATAAACAGCTAAGCAAATCAAAACGATTCATGTCTGTACACCGTGAGGTTGGTGTGCCGTAGTACGGTTACGTCTAGTTGAGCCCAAAATGACGAAGTCAGCCAGTACAGTTCTGCCGGCGACCATGACGGGGTTCGAGCTTTCCGATGGGGGATTGGTTCTTTGCCGTTATAATCGGCTTTTCATGCAATCTCTTTGGCTGTGGAATAATAAGACGATGCACAAATTTAAAGCGATGGCTTTAAGGAACTCGTTTCGCAGAAAAGCCGGCGTCGGCGGTGGACGAGATAATCCTGATCGGTCGATGGGTCCATGACGTCACAGCCACAAGACCTCGCATGAGAATTTCAAACAACTAACAACGCTCACCTGAAACGTGACGTCACGAGGCGTAGGATAACCGTAATTAAAACAATACATGTAATGCGAATTAAAGGTCGCATCGTGTCTCAAATGATTTGACTTAACGACTAGAAAAATGTGGAGCATCTCAGAAGGGATTCGAATCCACAACACTTCGGTTGCGAACCTGACATGCTACCGACTTTGTCACGCAGGCACGCTTGGAAGGCTTGACAACTAGCGGGGGTTTATATGCTTAGCCATCGCCTTCCAGACTTAAAGGCGAAGCTTCGTGAGAACAAGTGGGGGTTCATATGCTTAGCTATCGCGTTCCTGGCTTAAAGGCGAAGCTTCAGCGTCATTCGGTATTTTTTAAGATGTCAGTAATGATGAACTAGGCACTTTATTGTTCTGGCTCCGGAAACTAGAGCATATATTACTGCCCGAAATCTTTTTTGTTAAAAGGAGTTATTAAGTTCTAACATCATTTGAATAATACCAAACGTAATTTCCGACACTCTAGCAGTGAGTGTTAGATTCATTGGAAACATTAACGTATGTTTTTTTTATGATTTATAATTGGTTATGGGGCAGATTCCTCCTCTTCCCGGACAGCAGCAGCCGCAGTAGGTGAAGAGCGAGCGGCAGCACTATATCTACAGGGTGCAGCGAAAGCTTAAAGCGTATGCATGGAGGTCATTTTTTTTATAGAAATATAAATCCTAAAACAGAGTGTACTGAGATACCGTTACATCCTTACCGGCACTGGTACCAAGAGTATGGTCTTTGCTAGGTTTTGGAACCGTTGTCTTGGTGGTACCACCGGCCAGAGTCCATATGCCACTGTCGACGTAGTCGTACCTTAAGTTCATCCATGAGCAAAGCCCTTCCTCAAAATTGCAGTCATGATTGTCAGAGCCTGCGAAAAAAAGGATGGAGAGTAATGAGGTATATGTACTAGCGTTACCTGATAACGCTTCGCTATGTACTACAGTTCAGAACGCAACGACCATAAAGATGGCAAAATTTAAAAAACAAAAATTTTGCGATGTTTTTATTGCTAAATTTATTTACGGATTGCCCTACGACCATTCTACTGTCCGCCCGAAAATAACTCTAGCGGTGCGGACCATTTTTTTTTTGAGCTTGCGCTTATTTCTTTTAAAAGACAACTAATTTTTTGCCCTTTTTAATGAGAAAATAGCGGTCGACGATGACCATGAATGTCTGTAGATGAATAATGTCGGGGGGCTATAGTCCCTTACAGGTTGAGAAAAGTTGAGTAATGCGGATTTTTGGGCGAGTTGGTACTGAAACTTGGAGAACATAATAGCGCTTCACGACAGGGACGAAGAGTAGGAAGGAGACAACACAACGCGCTAACTTCAACTGGTGTAATCGTCAGAAAATCAAGGGTATAAATACTCTGCATCATCGCGCCATTCAACCAATCCCAAGCCACGCCACTGACAGCAAGAACTGTGTCTCTTTGTCGGCCAAATCGATCGACGCCACGCTGACAAATCGATCCCCGTAGTTTTTTATCAGGTTGGCCTCTATAATTTCCCTTGCCGTCTTATATCTATGTTTTCTAATGACAGTGCACAAATTGAATTAAGGTTTGCACCTACAGTCATGGCAGTGCATCGACAAATGACCGTCACGCTGTCCGCTCACTTTTTGGTTGTGCTCGTGCAATCTGTCATTTAGACATCTTCCCGTCTCTCCAACGTACTTTTTACCGCACGTCAGCGGGATCTCATAAACGACGCCATCTGCGCAATCTACAAACGGGCTGCGATGCTTGTTGACGCAGCCACCCGGTGGTTTGCGGTAAGGGTCCGTCATTTTGCACAACTTGGCAAGTTTTTCGGGTGCAGAAGAAACCACCCGAGCGTTTAGGCGGTTTGCTATCCTTTTGAGATTGTGTGCCGTTTTGTGCATGTAAGGCACAACCGCCACTCTTTGTTTCTTTTGGGCCCCATCCTGGTCTGGACTCGCTACTACTCGTTGCTTCTTTAAAACGTTTTCTGCGACCGATACCAGGAGCGTCCCCGGAAAACCGGCAGCCACCAAGCGTTCTGACTGCTCCTTCAGACCTGAAGGCATCGCATGATGACACGACATTCTGATGGCGTTGACAAAGCACAAATTTACAATTCCTCTCTTAACAAGTTTCGAATGGGATGAATTGAATGGCAGCAGGGGCTTATTTGCTCTCGGTTGGTATTTCCAACACACATGTTGCTCCGAAAGTGTGAGCCTGATATCTAAAAACTGTATGACGTTGTCCACAGGTACCTCGTGCGTAAGCTTGAGAGGATCAAGGACGGTACTAAAAACTGTTAAAAGGCTGTTCACCACCGACGGAAAGTGAGAAACATCACGGTGAAGAAAAACTAAATAACCGTCGACGAATCTAAAACCCTTACTACCATTAAAGCCATTGAGGCGTTCCGAGAGAACTTTGTCATGATGGGCTAAAAATATATCGCTTAAAACTGGAGCTAAACACGACCCAATACACACCCCTCACTTCTGAATATACACTCCGCTGTTCCATTCAACAAAGGTCGAGTTTAGATAAAATGTAAGCAATTCGAGAAAGTCATCTACAGTTATTCCTGCTGCGTTCTGAAAGTCCACCACCCCATGTTTATCGATGCTTTCCTCTACGCAGGTCAGTAGTTTGTCGTGCGGTAGGGAATAGTATAAATCCTTTATGTCTAGTGAGCAGGCTAGAAAGCCTTTGTCCGCGTTTGTCTTTAAAAAATCTACTACATCATCCGAGCTTTTGACCAAAAATAGGTCGTCAATACAAATGGCTCCCAGTTTATCTTGCAGAAAGAGTGCGATCGATTTCTGCCATGTGCCTCTCTCCCAAACTATCACTCTTAACGGACGATCAACTTTGTGCGTCTTAGCACTGAACATCATCTGTAGGCAGTCCTCTTTGGTTTTATCAATACTCTGTGACAACCTGTCTAATTTTAACCTCTTGCACAATTGTTTCCCCTCCGCCTTTAGCTTAGTTAAAGACACCTTCCGACGCTGATTGAACACTGACGAAATGGCCTCAAGGGCCTTACTCCGAAATTGGGCTTCTGTTAACACCACAAACCCTCCTTCCTTGTCGGCGGGAATGATAGACAAGCGACGCTCTTTCAATAGCGACACCACACGCTTAACCGGAATGGGGGGCTTCGCGGGTTTGTTATTGTTTCTAGACAGCACGTCCGCTCCGCGGCCAGTGAGGGGGCGGCATTTGCCCCCTCATTGGCCGCGGAGCGATAATGGATGCACGGCACTTCCCACGCCCCAAGTCTTTTAGGTCTTAGGTGTCTTCAGTCAGATCTCTAGATAACCTACCCTGAGGACGCGAGCAATCACTGAGGCGTACGTAGTCCAATCCGCAGTAGAATCCATGCGGCTGTCCCGACCCCAAGGAACACACGAAATCCAACTGTGAGGAAACAAAAGTATTCGTAATAAACTTAAAATCACAATAAGGTGGCCTACTCCTCCATCACGCGAGAAGATATAACAGGGTAAAGGTGTACGAGTTTCTCACTTTCCTGAAATACATTGCAAAGTACAGGGTGTCACAAAGGAAAATTTACACGGCCTTTTTTACCGCAAAAACATGCTAGGCATCGCCGAACGCTCATTCTCCGCCCAAAGGTAGAGCCAGAGGTCACAACCAGATGCCAAAGCGTCAGCCCGATCCAATAACTTATTGAAAAGTTATAAGTGATTTTCTGAAAATTCCAATGGGAAAATGGAGCCCATTTTTGCTTGTTTTCGGTTTCTGGTGCCATAGAGCCTCATTTGTTTGAAAACTCCGTCGGCCGCCATTTTCCCATTGCAATTTACAGAAAATCACTTATAACTTTTGATTAAGTAATCTGATCGGGCTGAAACTTTGTCATCTCGTTGTGACCTCTAGCGCTACCTTTGGGAGGAGAATGAGCGTTTGGCGATGCCTAGTTTATTTTCGCGGAAAAAAAGACCTTGTAATTTTTTTTTGTGACCCCCTGTATATTCGATTGATAGGCTTATTTTACTAAGTGTACGTTAAACGTATACGTTTAGTATGCACACCTTAATTGCCAGAATGAATTCACATGGTGACCACTGCGCCTAAGTAAGAGGTACACTAACAAAACCTAAATTAGAACTATACTCCAGACATATCAACTCGCTAGAAATATATATTAAGTGTGTTTTTCCTCCGTTTTATGAAGTTATATAGTTAGTATACTATATCTGTATTGCGCTTTAACCATGATATTTTTCAAACTCGTAGGGAAGTGAATAAATTGCGGCGTGCATGTCCGAGAAGGAACGCTACTGCCTACATCTAGAAGATCCGCGTTTAGTCTTACCGCAAATGTCTGACGCTCGAACATTCGATTCCGAATGTTCGGGATGCCAGGTGTAAAAGATAAGGAGGCCGATAAGGCCTCGCCTAGTCAGTCTCGGACAAGCTCGACGCTCGAACCGAGATACCGAGGCTAGTGAAGGAGGGGCCCTGTGTGGCCCTGCCGAGTCAGCGACTCCAGCGCTTGCTAGTTGTCATGCGAACACCTGGACGCTCGATGCTGCTTTTGGACGCTCGGTCTGTCTTCTGTTTCTGGCACAAGTTCGCCGATGAAGTCTTTATAATTTAGTTTGAAGTTTGTATAGGTTTTTCATCCGCGACAATATAAGAAACGAACTTGTCTAGTTTTTCTTTTCTTTGCACTGATACAAGAGTCAAAAAATGCATAATAATTGGAAGTATAAAGCATTCAGGTTTGTGCGCACGAACGTGTTTTACTTGTTTTGGATTAGAAGCGCTGATCTCGAAGAGACACTTGACGTTCTTTCTGTTATCAGCTTGGACAATACACAAATCCCACCAAGAATTGTTTTCGTTTTTTTTGTAAAATAATTGAGCGCTTCGTGTTCTTTGTGAAGGTCATCCTGGGTTAGGCACTTTTTTGATACTTCGGCGCTTCGCCCCAAGAAAGAAGCATGCATTGGAATCACACCTAAACCTGATCTCTAAAGATAATTTTAAATGTCTGTACACTTTTTTTTAAGTAAACTTGACCCGAAAAAAGTATATATCCATATATATCCAGGGTGTTATTTTTTAAGCTTAACAAATTTGTTTAAAAAAAAGCCATGAAAGTTACAGTGATGCCGCTTGAGGAGGGGAGTTATACGGCCAGGGGGACATATTTTAAGGGGCTAATCTTAACGATCAGTCGTATAATTAACTAAAATTCGTTAATTAACTTTTTAAATAATGAAAACAGAAATATGGTTCCAATTAAAAACTTGCTCACCGTCATCGAAAACTAAATCAGTCATTTTCAGAAAGACTTCGGCGCGTGAGAAGCGCAGTATTGTACTAAAGTTACCACTCGTGGAGCAGGTACAAGGCTGGGGCTAGATAAGAGACGGCAAAACCGCGCGGGCGCCTTATCGCAACCGCTAGCTTTGTACCTGCTCCACGAGTGATAACTTTAGTGCACTACTACGCTTTTCACGCGCTCAGTGTCTTTCTGAAAATTACTGATTTAGTAGTTTTCGATTACACTGAGCAAGTTTCTAATTGGAACCATATCTCTGTTTTCATTATTTAAAAGTTAATTAACGAATTTTAATTAATTAGTCGACTGATCGTTGCGATTAGCCCCCTATAATATGTCCCCCTGGCCTTATAACTCACCTCCTCAAGCGGCATAAGTGTAACTTTCACGGCTTTTTTTAAACAAATCTGTTTAGCTTAAAAAAGAACACCCTGTATGCATATATATATACATATGTATATATACATATACATATATCGATATATATATATATATATATATATATATATATATATATATATATATTCTCTCGCAATATGGGGTCTAATTCACGAGATTGATTTCGATCGAAGCGAGCTTCCCAAACCTGCTTCAATATTTGCTTAGTTATTTACCTGGATCTCCGGCAACTATGCAGAAAATAGTAGGGCAGTCTACTTCCGGTATGCGTGTTGCAATACGACCGGAAGTACACCGACGAAATGTTATTGGGCTCTCTCTGGCGTCTATATTAAGCCGCTAAATTCAGCGGAGAAATATATCCCAGTCACGACGACCGTACACGGACACGGACAAACTGATTCGTACAAAAGACAGTCGGCAGAAACTCGAAAGTTTGAGGGGGCTCGTTTTCGCACGCCCGATCTGGTACGGTGGGCCCTCCGGTACGAACTGCGCATGTGCGAGCCTTCTGCGGGAGCGCATGCGCTGTTCGCACCGGAGGGCCCATGGTGCCGTATCGGATGTGCAAAAAACAGTTCCCTAAAACTTTCCAGTGCCTGGTGCGTGTTTATTTCCTGTAGGACGGTCACGTTCGTCGTACAAAAACTTGAAAGAGGTGCTTCGAAGCAAGCATAAGGCCTGTCCGCAAATAATTCTGTCAACCTATAGGTGCAGCTAGCAGCATATATACATATATATTTTGTCTTTTGTAAGATGTGTGACAGCGGCTTACAGGAGACGCACCGGGGGTCCAGGCGCCGAAAAATGCTCCGATAACAAATTGCCGAAGTAGCGAGAAACAAACCATTTATCGAGATTCAAACGTGAAAAAGCCTGAACCTGGATGGTAGGGCCGCCGTCGAACGAAGCTTGAGCAGGACTCCATCTCTCGTGGAACAGGGCGTCACCGGAGAGGCCCCAAATAGGCAGGCGCGATCCATCGTGTCCTGGGCAAGAGCAAGAACAACATAAATTGACCACCGCCGTTGTCGGCCCCGAACATGATGCCACCCCGAGGATCTTCACCTGATCATGAATCTGGTTTAGAGCGCAAGCGCAATGCCTGCCCTTGATGTGGGCAAATGCGGTCTCGTGCTCTTACGTATAGAGCACTCGCTAATAAAACTTTGTGCACACTCTACAAAACACAGGGTAATTCAGAACACGTAAGCTACAATTTGTTTTCTTTTTTTGTTGTTGTTGTTTTTTTTATGAGGAACGGCGTGTAGTTCGCGCGAGTCTCCAATCTATTTCTTTTACCCACTTCAAAGTTTATATCGCCTCTGCTTCGAATTATAGCGGTGAAAAAAAAATATAACGAGGGTGGTTTTCGTGTCACTCCTTCTTCTAGGACGATACGACGTAAGCTACTTGCGCCTCAAAATTCTGCCGGACGCCATGTTGATGAATTCTCGCCGATATCTTTTAAACATGCGGAGGCAGTGTTAGCCTGCTCTTTCGAGACTTCCCCCGCGTAATGATCGACCGCGCCTCCCGGAGTGGTCGGTGACACGAAGGAGCACCTGCTCGTAGTGGATCTTTATACCTATCATTCTATATTCGTACCTGAGACGAGGCATAAATCAACGTGTAGACACCGCCTGCCCGACACCGAAGGGAAACAAATTGGGAAAAACTTGTATGTATACAACCCAAACCTGTCCCCAATCGTGCTGGCTGAGATTGTACCGTCCATCTAGCCATTCATTATTCTTCGGTGTTTTATAAAGAGCAGAAGCGACGCCACTATGCGTCTACATGTAAGCAAATAGCGAAAAGGGCGCATGATACTCATCAACATGGCGTCACGTGGCATACCGGAAAAGAAAAGACGTTTCGCGGTACCGCCCAATGGATACCGACAGTTCTGGTCATGCTATTATCACGACACGATCATTGACATTTTCCTGATTAGACAATACGAATGTTGCGGAACAATACTCGCGAAGCAAGAAGCGAAAACACCCTGCATTTCAAAGCTGTTAGTATGCATTTCGTGCAATTATATGCTATGCCCCTACGAAGATGTGTTCTGTCACCTTGTACGAGCTGAGCATCTTTACTGCGTGAACCAAAGCTACACGAAGTTTTATCAAGTTTTAGGCTTGGTAAAATATTGTTTTTCTGCGCCTGTGGCCTTTCATTTCCCTCTAAAAAGGGAGTTAAATCAGGAAGCTGGACAGAACCAGGAAAGATTTATTGGTATTGCTTTTGTTCTACATATCAATTCGTTGTTCAATCTTGACCCGCACCAACACGCTCTTGTTCCATTGAAACTTCTCGGCTCATGCCAAAACCTCATTGTCATCAAAGCGATAATATATGCTCGAGATTGCCCACGCCATGCATTTCTAAAGATGTTCATCTTTATAAATGTGGTGTTCCAATTCTCGTTAGGACGGCAAACAACCTTTAAAGTACTAACAAGGTACTCTCAAGTTTATTTCTTCTCCTTCGGCAGTTGTTTACCAACCTCCGTCTGAAGCTTACCGGACCTGGTAAATATAAACTAAAAATACAAGTTAGGCCTGCCCAGTCTTTGAAATCAAGAGAGAGCCAGCGGCAAACCATTCAGGAATTAAAAAAAGCATGTTCCAACAGGTTGTGGCCGTCTAAATGCAGGTCAGTAATGTCGCTCTACCGCGGGCCAATTGCCTTCTCTCAAGATTTGAAATTATTCGCACCATAAAAAAATATGACCCAAAGAACATACTGCAGAGTTCCAAAATAAGTATCTAGTCTAGTCGTTCACATTTCGCAGATATTTATGTAGCCCTTGCTAAACAACAAATCAAGCATTTCCATCGCTCCTCATTAAAAATGCTTGTTAAGAACGAATTTGTATGGGACTCGTGCGCTTTGTCAGAAAGTATAGTTTTTAAGTCGCATCTTTTTTTCATCAGGGTAGACATCTGCACTCGTTCCCATCTAGTTGTATAAACATTTTCCTCCTCAGCTGCAGCTCTTAATGCTTACGCTTTAAAGACCTCAGTAAAAGCTAAGGTGAACCCCCTAATCATGTGGGGGGCTGACAGAAGGAACATTTATACGCAAGCATCAATATGCTACCGTCGGAGACGAAAAACGTTAACAAACTTGCCCCTGTTTATGAGAGGAAGAAAGCCTTTGACCTTTCAGGAGCTTCATCTCGTTTATTGCACTTCCCTTTAGCGTGGGCGAACGGGAACACAAAGGAAGTTTTAAATTCTTACCAGTAACAAACACTCGGAGTCCATGCGGAATGTTGTTGGTTCTTCCTTGCGAAACGTAGTAGTAGAACTGCAAGCATTGACGACCGGTGTGCCCCTTCACTTTCGGAGAACTCAGCAGACCCACGGGGTTCGTGCCCGAAGAAGGCTTGAAAATTGCGAAGCCACCTGCGGAGGGGACAGAAAACGTGGACAAATGGGGCGAAGACATTAAGACTAGATTACTATATAGTGGGAGTGTGCAAATAATAGTTTAAATCCAATACCGCTCCGTCATTCATAACGCTCTCAGTGCAGAAGAAACACACAAATCTGGCCCGATGTACAGGATTGAAAACTATGAATGACTAAGCGCTATTTCCTTTGACGCACTATTTCATCACCTCTTGAATCCAGACGACTACAGAGTGGGTCCGGCCTGTACTACCGAGTGTCTCCAGGTGGCAGCCAGGGTCTTCAAATTGACCGAGAAATTCGGTTTCTTAGCCTATCGCGCTACGATTTTGTGCAGCGTTGCCCACAGGTGGTGCATTTTTTTCTATAAAATTTGCAAAAAGCGAACTCACTTGAGCAAAAAGTAAAGAAAGAAAAATGCTTAACTGCTATGGAAACGCAGCGAAGTCACCGGTCTTGAAACATTAGAGTTTGTAGCAGTAAGGATTGAAGACCGGTGGCATCGCTGGGTAGGAGTAAAGACTTTTTCTTTCTTTCTTTTTTTTTTCAGGTAGGATCGCTATTTGCAAATTTCACAGAAAAAAATTCACCACCTCTTAGCAACGCTGCACAAAATCGTACCGCGATAGGTTAAGAAACCGAATCTTGCGGTCGATTTAAAGAGCCCGGCCTCTATTTGTTACCCCCGAGATTTCATTCCTGAACTGGTAGAGAGTGAAAGATACGCGCTCGCCGGACAAATAAACCTTCTCCCTTATATCACCCGACCCCCTTTTTGTGACTAGTGATACACGGAAGCTTGATATCACGTGGTGAGAGATAGACCCGTTATCCGCTTGTTCAACGAGCGCGAAGGTTCCACCAAACTCTCAGCTTACGGGTGAACGGAGAATAGCTTCTGGGAAGGGTAAGAGAGCAACTTTTGTCCCTAAAATATCAGAAACTCACTGCGTTCTATCATTCTGCTTGTAATCAAAGAAATGAAGGACTATTTAAGAATGGAGGGAAGATTTAGGTAATGATAAGTTCTTTGAGTTACATCGCTTCTTTCTGGGTTCGGCATCAATATTTCCGTCATATTCTTGATGTTTTATTTTATGAAGTAATCCTACTTCTAGCGCATTAATACTTGAGCTAACTAATTGGATGTTGATGTATTTATAAACTAGTATATCCATTAAACTACCTTAACGTGCACAAAAAACAATAGACTATAAAATAACTGACTTCTTATTTTATGGTCAGCATTTCCACTATATTCGGTGTTTTTACTCCACACGCAATGGACATTTTCCCTCGTGACTAATGTAAGATTTTGTATAACAACGCCTTACATGCACAAAGCAAACCGAATTGATCGGAGAGTAGACTTTCTTAAAGGATTTGTAGATATTTAATTCCGGCTCCCGAAACGTCATGCGAAGTGGTAAAGATTTGAACGTTGTATTAAAAAACAAATAACACAATAAATGAGTAAGTATTTGGTGCCGTGTGATGCACCTTGATGATGATCCAAATTAATTACTGCCATTTCATTCGCGATTTCCTCTTTCTAAGAAGCGTAATTTTCCTATTAAGGTGTCAGTGGAAAAATTAGCTGCAATGTTTGGATTTTAGTTTTACAAGGAACCGCTGAGTCGTCAGAGCTTTTCTGTCCCTTATTTTGTTCTACCACCGTAAGCTTTTAGATATTCACGTAAACTCTAGTGTTAATATCACAGTGATTCCAAGGTCATGGCTTTGAAGTATGGTTGGTGGCTATATGTTGTTGAACACTTGAAGTGCACCAAAACGGTATTTTGAGATAAGTGAAATGCAGACTTAGTTCGGTTCATGAACTTCAAACAGTAATACAACATAAAATGCCGTCACTGTGGGACTTCATATACACGGTATTTGATCCTAATGAAAACCGTTTTGTAGAAAAGCAAACAGCTCAGTTTATATGGCGCCATTTTACTTGCGATTTGGCAGTTTCTGCACGGCTCGTGCGGCAGATAACGTGTGGGGGATTTCTGAGGTCCTCAACGTCGCGGCTGCGGAATTGCAAACAAACTCGCCCCAACTCAACCAGGCTTAGCGCGGTATGTGTCGACGATCATGAAAAATTTAACACAAAACTGGAACACAAGTACAATATAAATGCACAAGAGTAAAAAAAGAAGCAAAAAAACAAGTTACACTGTCATATGTTGTTTTTATTCTCCTGCCTGAGTCTCGGGTTAACCTAGATCATTTTAGATTTTCACCAACTTGCCTCCGCACTGACTCTCTTCTTTTATAAGGCCAAGCGGACCTAATAATCTCTAATAGTCGCGGCCAGTTGGATAATTAACAGAATATTGTTAGATACATTTTAATTAGAACTTTATTCCACCAACGAATAAAATTATCATTTATGTTTTCGAACCGGAGGCCTCGCGCCTGTTGCCTGAGCGGTAACTTAAGCGCATAGCCAGGGACCCACGTCATTTATGTCTGTCTAATATTGACTGATCAAGTGGTTTTCAACGACGCTCTTCAAGTTCCAACGTGGAGCCATATATTTATTTTTGCTTAACAAAACCAATGTGAAGAAATCTTATTTATCTATTTCACTTAGCGTGATAATTATCATCGTTTATTAAGTTATCTTGGCCGCATCTCTCACCTGCGCAGACAATATTAGTGTACTTTCGCGGCTTTTTCTTTGCAAAGATGTGTTCGAATTAAAATTAAACACTGTGTATGCCATACTGGACAAAACCTACCGCCATGTCCGACCGTTACGTCCTCGTTAATAGTCCAGCCGATGCCGCTGTCGCTCGCCTTCCAGTGGTTCAGCTGCCAGAGACCGGAGCCATTGCCCACGCTGTAGCCGCACGTGTCTCCCCAGTCGAAGTCGCACGAGCCTTCTTGAGGACCTGCAGAAGAAATTTGTGCTTCATGTCTGACACAAGAAAACAACCTTGACTGTCTCTGGCATTTTCCAAAGGCGTCCTAAACGCTCAACATTTATAGCGTCTCGGTCTTCCTGCTCCTACTTCTGCGGCCAAATTAAGGAGGCCAATCTTAAGCCGTCGCGGGATTGTGTGAAACGTTGACTTTACATTTCGTCATGGTTAAACGTAACCTCATGTCACGTAACGAAACCATTTCACGTGACGCCCTAGTTCCATGTGACATTGTGACGTTATCGAAGGTGCATGTCACTGTCACAAATACCCGAGGCTGACCTTGTAAAAGCTATGCATTTAAAAAGCGACCGAGAGTACCTCGAGTAAGATAAAAAAATATGTTTAATGAGGCTTAACTTTGAAATCCTATACTGACCCAGCCATGAATTTGGTTCAACGTTAGCGACCCTCTAAAGGGGTATGCAAACTGGCGCCGTGTTCCGTGAACGCTTCACCGCTTTGTGAAAAAAGCGGGGGAAACTTCACCCATCGCCACGACACATCACGGCAAACAAGAGCGCCCCACCCGGTGACGTGTTTGATGACGAAACTTCCGGAGGTTATCAATCACGGTCACAGTGATCACGATGGTCAAGAGCGGAATGGAAAGGAGGTCAAGCTTTCGTTCCGCAAGGTTTGCGCGGAGGCGGGCGGTCACATCGGGACGACTGGCCCGACAATGTGATGGAGCGAAGCTCACAGAGTACGTGGACAGAGGGTGGGCCAGTCACATCGCTTCCCGCTTTTCGACACAACACGGTTTGCCACGGCTCGCTGTCGTGTTCAAACAAAAAAGCGGAGAGAAAGTCCAGCTTTCTTGACGGAGCGGTGAAACGTTCACGGACCACGGCGAAAGCTTGCATACCCCCTTACGCGGAAATTTCACCAGTATGAGGCGGTCCGTGGCCTCTGCCGTTGAACCCTGATCTCGAACTCGAACGTCGGAGTGCCCTGCCAAGCTGTTACTCAGTGCCCCTGCCCAATCGTTCGGTATCATAGCCTGTCCGACTCTGTCCGTTTGGACTTCCAGCCGTGGTAACGAGCAGACGACCGAAGGGCTTCCTCGTTACAGCCCTTCTGACGAAACCATGTAACTCATAGAATTAAGAATTTAAGTAGCGAGTGTTTCAATTTGTTTAGAAGATATTTGCATTTGTTTCGGCGAGTGAAGATAAACCGTACGGTGTATTGAATGACGTAAAAATATTTTACGTCAGAAGACATGGTTACATGACATGGCATTAAGTCGTGGTGACACCTGACCTGGAGACACGTTACATTGGTCACGACCTAACGTGATGTGACCGCATGGTCATGATCCATCAGGTAATGCAGTGTTACGGCACATCGTGACCTCACGTGAGGTCACGAATACTTCAAGGTTGTCCTGACATGTCCTGTAATGAGCTACACGAGTACGCACAGACACGCAGATGAACAAGTCCATGTGGCCCTGGCTACCATTACATTGTGTTCGATGCAGTAAAAGTGTACGTCGTCTTTCGACGCTGACCTACAAACGCTTGCGGTATTTATGAACGTCAGAAACGCGCCCGGATTTTCCTCTGATAACGCACCCTTCAAACTTTCACCACCCCCCACGGATCTCCAATGAGATTAACAAGGAAAGCGAACCATATTTTTGTTCGTAGCGCACCCTTGAGCCAGACATTATGCAGACGGAATGCCTAGACCGAATGTTGATCATTGCTGTTTGCAATGACCTCTAAAGGATAATTATATTATCCACCACATTGTGGCGTTCCAATCGGAGATGCAATTACTGGAAACTTTAAATTAGAGGCTAACGTCAGTCAACGACTAGGACGAGATGTCCGGCCTGTACTGGACACATCGTTGGGCATTTCCCAGTTAAAACACTTTCGCCAATGTTAGTGAATTATGATTTTTTTTTCTAATAAAATTTAACAGTACGCCCGGTCAATTAAACCTTAAATATTAAATTTGAGGCTAGTGTGAGGACTTTACAACACAGATAATTCCCGTGTTCCTGCTTCTTTTTCGGGCACTTTTTTATTCCAAACATCCGCGAAAGACACCCCCCTAATCCCAGAATATCATGCCAGTAATTGTACACAAATACGAGATAATAGAAGATGCTTTCAAGTCTAAATAACCAATGTGCTGGGCGTGAGTGAAAAAAATCCGCGTCCCTCGCCTTTGCATAATCATTTGACCATTGACCGCAGCCGACGTGGATATTAGAGAGTTTGAGGAAACGGAAATTTGACAAAACGATTGGTAGCTCGGATGGGGAAGTCAGACCGACCGTTTTCCACAAAACGGCTTTGAGAGATAAGCGCTTCCAGACGATCGGTGCATGTCGCCCACACTTGCAACACAAATTCGCTATGGCATCGTGAAGTGGTTGAAGAGCGCGAATATTTATGGGGGAGGAATTTTCGGTAATTTCACAGAAATGAAAGTGAAGCGTTTCACTTTTGCAGAAATAGCCTCAAGCAAAATTTTGGAAATAACCATATTTTGTCTCGTTTTGCCAGAACGGCAGCGCCAAACGTGGCGGCTGCGTCCCCACCGTGACTTAACAGTTCTTCTGCTAAAAGAGCAGATGACCTTCGAGGCAATCATGGCAATACACATTTTTAACGATGAGTTCGAGTTCGGTGAGAGAAAAAAATATTATTTTATATGACAATTTGCAACATGAAACGGAGCAGATAGTTGACAGTTTGACCAGGGATGTTCAATCTTGCCTTTCGTTTGTTTTGTTATTTTTGCCGTGAATTCTATTTGATCCTCTCACCGCATCCACGACATTTGTTCCCGGCACAACCACGAACACTTTCATTTACGTTTTAAGCTTTGCGAAGCCCCTTCCCAAAGGAAAACAGTCGTTCTATAAAAGACTCGAGACGCTTCAGATGTCAGACGCCTTGACTACACGATCACAGCTTACGGTTCAGGCAATGGTCTAAAATAAAGCAACAGTGACCTTGCGCATGCGCAGTACATAACGGAGAGCCAATCCTATGGTATCGTTTATGCAAAAAAGGTTCCTTAAAACTCTGTTGCTTCTGGATGCATTGTGTCCAATTTCAATACGTCGAATGAGACTGTCCCTACTTCCGCCCCACGTTCTCTCGCGATGTAGGGCTCAGCTGTGACACGTTTACACTTGCGGATTCGCGGGTGGATTCGCGCAGGCGGAAAGGGGATTTTGGAACCGGGTGGTGAAATCGACTCTTTGTGGGTGGCGGACAACCTGGGTCAGTCAGTGACCTAAATCCAGATTTTCCACCAGCTACGAGTCGATTTCAACACCCTGCTCCAATATCCACTTTCCACATGCGCCGATTCGCGAGTGTAAACGCGCCATTAGAGTCAACAAAATCTTGATAAGAAACAAAAGATCGGCTGATTATATTCATGCTTATCGCTTCGTGATTTATTCAACGGCGTTTCAACCGACGAATGTAGCAATCTCATTGGCCGCAGCCCGAATATAACGTGCTCGGAACTCGCACCACCCTGGATAGATGGATGGACGAATGAATGGGTGGATGTTAAAGGGATGGTTAACCGAAATTTAGATTTCAGAAAACAATGCAGGAGCTGTTGGCCGGGACGCTACAATCCCTACAACACTACTTGTAAGGCGATATCTCGAATCCACGGCCGTTTTCTGGGGAAACAAAATGTCGAGATTGAACGTGGCTGACGAGACGTGTGATGTCAAGATATCTCGTTTCCTCCTCTCTTCATTTTCCCCGCTCAAGGCGGCGAGGCGGAGAAGACGCGAGGCCATTCCCTCTCCTTCTCAGAGAAACGGGACATAAACATATCTGTCAAATGCGCCTCCTTTTTGTGGAAAATGCGGTCATCTATTTGATATATCGTTGTGTGAGTGATGTTTTGATGTTTGTAGCATACCATGGCACGCTTTTGCCGCTTTGTGGAAAGCAAAGACTTGCTTTGTGGAATCCAGATTTCGGTACAGCATCCCTTTAATGGCTATACCCTTTCTAATCAGCAATAGCATGTGCCACCTAGTCTAAGTCTAAAAAGATAGCACATGATTCCTCCCGTCCTTCAAAGCCAATTTACTTCCTCTAACTATCATCAGCCGTCAGCCATCGTCGGCTATATGTTGCTTGATCTATCTTGACTTGTTTTTTTGCGGTGTTTGGTGTCGAATAATGATGTTCCGTTCTAGTAAAATCGGCTCCGCTGCTTTATGAATTGTGCAACCGCCGTTATTGCAGCCACGGTTTAATACCGAGAAGATACCTCCAGGGGCAAGAATTTACGAGCCTTTTGGCTGCATGCAATTAGGCGTTCTGCTCGCGTCAAGCCTGTCTTCGTTCCCGTCATTTGGTTTCGAAATTCAAGTAGCCGTCAAGTTTTCCATTGCACCTGGCGTACCAAAGCTAATATTTTACTTCGCGTTTTAATTTTGCGTCATGACGCTCAACCATCTTGTTCGCGGATGTCATATAAAAACCAAAAAAACCAAAACAAAAAACAGTGAAGCTGGTAAGTCTGCTTCTTCATTATATTCATGTTTTTATTCCTCTCGGTCGCTTATTACTGCACGTCGAAAGGCGCTCACAGACGCTGGTATTGTACCGTGGCTCGTGCATAATGGTACGCTAGAACACCTTTCTCATGGTGGCGGTTTGCAAGCGTTGCAGAAGTTTTTAGACGGGGGCGAAATAGCCGACGGACGGAGGCGAAAACGGACGCCTACGCTCAGCTTTTGTGTCCGCGTATTATGGGCATTGAGGACGATGACAGACGGTGGTGAAATAGCAGACGATGCCGGAGGCTCTTACGCGTCTGCTCGCATGACTAGCGGGTGGTGTCAGACGCCAGTCGGCCAGACTAGAAGCACCGGATGTCGCGAAAGGAGGACACTAGGCTCGGTAGCGTGTTCAGCCAGGAGTTCAAGCCAATCCAGTACTAATGGGCGGGGCAACTAAGCTGTTAGCGGGGCTTAAAGCTGGCCGAGCCCTCCACATATGTTGCCTCTAACGGATTACTAATTGCGGGATTTTTTTTTTATTTCGTAAAAACGGAATTTCGAAAATTATGCGTCCCGACTATGCCCTTAAGAAATAATCTTTTTTATGTTAGTGACTTTTTAAATGTTCGCATCTGTATATGAGTTTAGTTGAAGCCGTAGGGGCTCTGTTGTTGCCGTGTCTTGCAGGCGTCACATTGACTGCCGGCGGAAAGAAACTGGCTAGTTGCAGCTATTCAATATATTGTTTTTTCATATATGAATGCTAGCTTTTGAAGAGGATTTCCGAAACATTCCCTTTTCAAACCACCGTTTGATAACCCCGTATCATTGGAAGGGAAGATAAAGCATGAAACCGGAATTTTTTACCTACTCTTGAAGATTGCGCACGCGAAACGTCGGCTGAGCATGAGAAAAGCTGGCACAAAAAATTGCTCATCTCTCGTGTGACTGATTTAAGGACTGTTAAGCACAATGTCGACTCTCAATGGCTTATAACTGTACTTTAAGTAATACATCTTTGATGATATTTCTGTTGGGTGATCGCAAAGTGAGACGCTAATGTTTGTCTCATTTTCGACCTATGACATCAACAATGCAAACGCTGTAGCCTAAACAAGAACCTCGTTTCGGAAACCCATAAGGCAATATTGGCGGTCGCAATTACTTGGACACAAATCCTGTGTTTGAATTGGCACAAAGCCATGCATTGGACACCCCTTGTGTCCAATACATGCCCATAGTGTGTGTCCAGAGAATTGCGCTCAACGATAATTGGAGCTCCACGCAACTACTATATGGCGCGTCACATTTGAAAAAAAAAGTCAATTATCTTACTAATCTGGTGTTAGCAAGACGTTTCTCATGCTCAAGCTGTGCTCAATTTCATTTTTACAAAAGGTTCATTTCATTCAGTAACGGTTTTGCTTTCATTTTTTGTCTTCATCGAACAAACATTTACCATAAATTGCAGTCGCCTGCGATGAACTACTTCAAGATAGGGAATAAATATGGACACTTCAAATAAGCGCCAGACTACAGCCGTCCTTCCTAAGCGTCTCTTGTCTTACCGAGATACCGAGCAACTAAAACACTCGCTGATGAGCATCCACAAAGAACGATGTGGGGGAAAAGGGCACATTAAAAACAAAAATGGCAATAATGAAAAATCGAAGTAAACGGAATACGAGGAAACAAAAACTGAAGGTCGGTTATGGCGGCACCCAGGCGCAGCTGCTTAGAGGCGTCTATGGATTTGTTTCAACTTCGTTAAAGGCGAGAGTGTACAAAAAAATGGGACGCTGCCCGTTTTTTTTTCGATGGCTTGTTGATGCTCCTTGTTTGGTTACGTAGCAACGATCTCCACTGCTTATGTTCGATGCGTGTGTTTAACGGCCTACGTGTACCGGACAACCATCAAAGTGGTCTCTACGCGGCAATCAATGAGGACAAAAAAGCCGGCCTGTCATGTTGTCGAATGACGTAACCCTGGCGGTTTGCCGTGTAAGTTCCACCAAAACGCAAGAGCGAAGGCGCAAAATCAAAACTGCTAAACCCTGAAGCTTCCGTACACTCTCCAGCTTAAAATAAATTCGTGGCAGAACAGAGGTTTTCCGTATTCACCTCCATATATGTGCTACTCCCGGGATTGGGGCAGGCGACAACGTGACACTTGTAGAACACGTTAGAGTCAGCGGGGCTTTGTCCAAACTTTCCGGAGAGGGTAACAGGTCTAGCGGGGTAGAGAGGTTTGCGGACGAGGATGGAAGAACGGACTAAAAAAAAATCGAAATCACTAAGGGAAGGCTAAAAAACTTGTGCTAAAGATCTAGAGACCTGAACTTAGAAACAAGTATAGCACAAGCTCAAGGGTAGTAGGGACAGAGGCATATTGCGACTCCCTCCCGCGTAGCTCCGGCTCAAACTTCAAACCGAGTTCCTGAGCGGGGAAGGAGATGGTAATGCGTTTTCATTTCTTCTTTTTTTTTTATTCCAACCTTTAATTGTCTACCTGGTGATAATTTACCCTGTCTGTTGATTGTCGCAGGGGTTTTGGGGGAAACAAATAGAGATGTGGGGAAAAGGAGTTGTGAATTTTCCAAACTAGGTGGCGCAAACTGTCGCCCGTTATAAAGGGTGCAGCCATTATCCATCCATCCGTCCATTCACTCTCAACAGACGAAAATAAGGGGACTACATTTTGGACGCGGTAGACACGCCAGAAACACACCGATCGGTGAGGCGTTCCACGCACCGTAGTTATAGGGTGTGCACGTTCGTCTCTCTCTTGCGTACCTCCTGTGTGCTTGTTTACCCGCCAAATACACCTGCGTCGTTTTCTTTGCCCCAAACTCAACCACTGATGATGCGTCCTTGGTTGCGATAGGCATTATGCGTTCCCTGGGCGCTCTCCAAGTTCCATATGATTGGACTGCCCCGCAGTAGGCTCAACTTGTGCCGAAGCGGTCTTTTGGTATACTTGCTCACCGATTAGTATTTGGTAGAAACTAGGTCACAAACCTGGAGGGCAAGGACCTGGCTCGAACATGAGGTCGTCGAGGGTGATAAAAGAGGCTTCACTGGCAGGGTGCAGAACGCTTACAATAGAAACCTGCGGGAAAAGAATTGCAGGTCAGTTGACTCGTTTAGAATAACCTCTCGTCTTTCGACGCAACTATCCACCCGTGTCTTCGAAGGCCTAAGCTACACTAACGCAATCTGTGCAAGTAGTTACACGGAGATGATGATATAATAAAAGGGGCAAATCGTCATTATAAGTTTGTTAATCAACTAAAATTATTAAACATAGTTTTGTTTCTGTTTCATCGAGTGAAGCTCAATGTATGATTTCGACTAGAAACCTACAGAGCGCCATAAAAAGCCACTCAATCAGTAAATTTTATAAAGACTTTGAAGCGCGTGGGAAGTGCGCTGGAGCGCTGAAGTTACCACTAAGTGCAAGGCTGACGTTAAGAAAGTGCACCCGCAAGACATCTTTTTTTATTATCGGTATTTTTCCATCGCTAGCCTTGCGGCTCTTGCACAAATGCTCACTGCCGCGCCTCCCACGCGCTCATGTGATTTTTACTATTCACTAGTTCCGCATGTTTTGTTTAAAACCAGCAAGTACGTGAGTGCATAGTTGGAAACTTAGCATTATTTTAACAACTCGAAAAGTTATTTAAAAATATTCAGAGGGTTATTTTAGTTATAGTGCCAATTATACACCTCCCCCCCCCCCCCCCCCCATAAAATGTTTCCCTGAGCGTATAACTGATTTCCGCATACAGCACTAGAGTAGCTTTCACGACTTCCTTTTTATATTTTTTTAATGCCTAAAGCCAGGGTCACGCTGCTTATTCATTATAGAAAAGACAGTCTGATTACCGATTTGAACTTGAGTCACCGCGAGATCCGTGTTTCAAATGCTGGATGGCAATAAGTTCTAGGAGAATGTTGGCACGCTGCGTTCGGACCAGGATTATTGCAGTGAATTCTGTTGGCAGACTGCGTTTTGGATGACCTATGAGCAGTGTAACCCCGGTTTCAAAGAACACCCATCATTCTTCGCAAACCAGATGCTGCGTTTTTATTTGGAAAGACCCAAAGTAAAAAAAGAAGAAGAAGAAAAAACATGAAACGTTTGCTTGTCACAAGAACGAATTAAACGTTCCGTTTAATCTGCAAGTCCAATATTAATTCTATGAGTTCTGAAATACGCATTAGGCAGTTAGATAGAAATTGATTTATTTTCAACGAAACCAATACTGAAAGTAGGCAAATTAAGGTATTTACAGGGTGAAACAAGGAGACGCCAGGCTTTTTAAATCGACCGGAAAATTCAGTTTCTTAACCCATCGCGCTACGACCTTGTGCAGCGTTGCCCACAGATGGTGCATTTTTTTTTTGTGAAATTTGCGAAGAGCGAACTTACCTGAGGAAAAAGTAAAGAAAGAAAAAGGCTTAGCTCTTATTGAAACGTAGCGACGCCACTGGTCTGCAAACAACACGGCGCCGTTTCGCACGGGAGACAAGAGATAACGCAAGCGGTCGCGACGCCAACTGCCGCCAACGAACGAGCAGACGACGCCGAGAGCCGGCCCTTTCGCAGACAAGGAACTCCAGTTCCTTGCTGCTACCGCGCCTGTCTTTTTTGTTTCTGCGACTGTCGCCGCCTGCGAAATGCGCGGCGCTTTTGACTCGAAAAGATCGCCTGCTAAAAAGGCCTGCTCTCGGCGCCGTATGCTCGTTCGTTGGCTGCGGTTGTTGCGCCATCTCTTGTCTCCCGTGCGAAACGACGCCGTGTTGTTTGCAGACCGGTGGCGTCGCTGCGTTTCCATAGGAGCTAAGCCTTTTCCTTTCCTTACTTTTTCCTCAGGTAAGTTCGCTCATCGCAAATATTACAAAAAAAAAATGCACCATCTGTGGTCAACGCTGCACAAAGTCGTAGCGCGATCGGTTAGGAAACCGAATTATGCGGTCGATGTAAAGAGCCTGGCGTCTTCTTGTTTTACCCTGTAGATTGCTTCAGGGTGTTCCACGATCCTTGTGCCGTGTGTGATTAGGACTTTTTGGGGCGACGCATTTCAATCGGTTACGTGTATTAAAGACCATAAATTGGGAAACGAAACAATACACTGGCACATTAGATTGTTGTGTATTAATCAGTAAACAAAACATCGACAGCGTTGGTTTATTTTTCATGACGCCAAATAAATCTCGCGTATGACAACGGCTCACACTTGGTTAGAATAAAATATCTGTATGCTAGCTACCGCCCTCCAGAGCGAACTTAATCCGACGCCAAGACACATTCTTTTCCCGCAGGTTACAGAACCCTGTGGCAATAGACATTTTATAGTAAGTCTCTGCTTGTGAGTATACCTTCTTCCCTCGCTTTGCTTCCCACTGTCGCCATTATTAGAGGGAACCGTCACGCACAAGGTACACCCTCAGGCGCAGTCTTTTGGCGTAATTCGCCTTTATTGACAATTGTCTTCTTGTTAAAATCGGTAGTAAGGAGTGTAAAAAGCTATGAAAACCGACGCAACAGCGCGCTGGCATAGGGTCCTAACAAGCGGAGGCCTATTTAGCTGCCCTTTATTTGAAATTCGCAGACCCCCCCCCCCCCCTCCCCTCTTTTCCAGTGAGCATTACCGCGCGACTGCCGGATATCGGCAGGAGAAAACTGTTACACTGAAAGCGCCAGCTGAACAGCACGTGAAGTAGGATGTTTTTTGTTGCTTTTCTTTCGCACGGGCGACAGTGTGTAATTCGTTTGTTAGTTTTTACGTGAAAGCTGTGGTATGTATACCAAGTGCTACATTGTTAGGGAGTCCCGAGTCAACGTATCAACTGTGTTTTCGGAGTGTTTACCTGGGCGTCTCAATGGGAACGAACAAATCCAACGAATCTCTTTCTTTCACCCATAGCGGGCATCGTCGGACTCTGTCGCATATTTATTCGTCAAAGTGTCTCTCGTTCCATGTTTATACGCAATCGACTTGACCATTTTCTTCGAACGGTGATATAAACCAAGGTGTTTGATGTGCTACAGGGTTTGTAGTGTCGACTTGCCCTGTGCGCTATAAACCATTCTCTGGTTTTCTGAGAGAGGCAGTATTTGAATATCGCTTTCTTTACGTACGTTCTGCCTTCGAATGCCTGTCATCGGTATCTGCAAAAGTTTGTCGCAGCATCTCTTTTGGATGTTCAGATGCTACACCCAAATGCCTATCTATACGTACTGGAGTCTCTCAAGAAGATGCACTAAAACATGTTAAAAGAGCATTAGTTCCGCCTAGGGTCAAAACATTCTTTGTTGTTTTTAATTGCACAGTGAAAAACTGGAACTAAAGACTTTTTTATAGAAAAAAGAAATGAACATTTACTCGACGGTTATCTGTACGTTATGCAAACAGCCGCAAAGTATTGAACACTTTTCTGCGGATTGCTGGGATGCTTTTCTTTATTGGGACGTGCTCCAGCGAACCATTAAATATTAACTCCCGTAACCATACTCCCTCCGGTCTTTAACAATTGACCGTTTACCGGTGCCATAGGATACAATCATGCTCTTGGGACTCCGTAATATATGGAAAAGTAGAATGGCTATGCATAATATGGACGTAGGCGCTCGCACCATTCGTGAATGCACAACTCAAAGCGTGAAACTGCTTCGAGAATGTTATAAGATGATAAGCAGTAATTGGGAGTGGTCGCCAGTTTCGAACGAATTGACTCCAAACTAAAAGACTATTTGAGAGTCAATTAAACGTTATGTGTACCTGTCGTGTGATATGATTATATCGTCTCCACTTTTAGCTCGCCAGCGTTCATCTCCATGTGCAGCATACCATTAAAACTGGAAATAAATAAAATAAATAAAAAGCGTGTCTGAATGGTTTGGTTTCCTGAAACCGACAAATGACGATTGTGTGCCATGTGACATGTTCTTCCTTTTGGGTCTGTGAAGCATTTGGCGGTCTCGCGTGGCAGTTCGGCATACAGACCCTAGTGCCAGAGAGGAACGCTTCTATTTCTTTTCACTCCTAAAAGAGGTCGAAAATGTTTTTTTCCAAACTCGAGCCTGGCTGGGCTTGTGTGATACACTCCTCGAAATGCGGGTTTTTTAATATGCACAGCAAAAGCCTTGTGCTACGTATTGACGTGAACCGTTGCTTGTCATTATAATAAAGAAAAAAAGTGGCTGCGGGGTTTAGTCAGTAGCTTGCCTTTCTCAGAATTGAAAAGTCGTAAGTTCAAATAAAAAAAAAAAAAAATTAAGGCAGAATAATTTTTTTTTTATCAAGCGAATTCATTTTAGACATGCGGCGACATTTAATTCGCATTACCATGTCCTGTTCTAATCACTTTCTCTCATGCAGGACGTCACGTTTCAGGTGAGCGTTGTGGTATTGAAATTCCCGCGCGAGGTAATGTAGCTGTGACGTCATGTCCCCATCGACCAATCAGGATCTTCCCGTCCCACCGACGCCCACGCTACCTGTTCTGCGACACGAGCTCCTTAAAGTGGCCCTGCAATAATATTTAAGCGTCTACCTTTTTTGCGGTTTCCACGTCTCTTGGGGTTCGGGCAAGCCAGCGGGCACGGAGAAGGTAACTAAATATCAGTGCGTCATGTTTTAACTGAACAACGCGGAAACCTCCTCCACCGACGAGGGTGACCCGCGGTACCGAAAGCGCGCAAAATGTGACGTCTTTGGTCCTGGGCTTACTACTGGTCAGAGCCACTAAAAGCTTCTTTTTAGTGGAAATACAAAATATAAGTGGCGCGATCTGTTTCAATTATTTATAAAAGTAGTTTTTGTTCAGTATTTTAGATCAGAAAAAAAAAACGAATGTAGTTTATAAAGTAGGGAAACAAGAAATGACCCGTCGCATACCCGCCACCAAGCGGTGGAAAAGGCGGCGCATACCGGAAAAGAGCAGTGGGATCACGCGCCGACACGGAAATGTCCCGGAGGTACGCGGTGCAGGTCGTATGGACAGGAGGATCCGACAAGCTCCGAGCGTTCCCAAGACCTTCGGCGAGAAGCTTTGTCTGGCGGTTTGGCCGTTTCGCGGTATGGCAGCACGAAGTGACTCCCATTCTTAACTGATCTTTACCCCGTGTCATATGCAGCGGGTAGCCAGAGCGGGTCTCATTGCATTTTCTGCGCGATTAAGCACTAATTCGGCATGACAGTTGCAAACAGCTTTATTTTTTTTATTTTTTTTTTTGGGGGGGGGGGAGTTGGAGGCGTGTTTGTTCTGTAGACGCTTGTTGCAAAGAGCAAGCGCTGCATAAATACATATACATGCACGTATATCGTCCATTGGCAACGACCCTTATCTAACAGAAAAAAGCACGCCCAGTAACCTGACTTCGCTTGACGTCATGGAATCAAATGACACCACAAAGAAATACCTTGACTTACACCACACCATGACGTCAAATTACTTTTTCTGACGTAACATCACTCCACGCGATATGATTTGACGTCACGGCGGTAAGTCTTGGCGTCACATGAAATGTTTCCTGCTAAATTTAGCAGGGGAATGCACAAAGGGACGGACGGGCGAATTACTCAAGTGGAGTTGTTCCGTGAAAAATAAAGATCCATGCTTTAAAACCCGAAATATCTCTTTAACCTCTGATAAATTACCGCGTATCTCGCAAGTCGCAAACATTTTATGGATATCAATGGTACCGAAAATACTTAACATGCATATTTGCAAGTTGAATCAAAGACGCAGTATTGCCAGATAACTGCATGGCTACTGGATAGAGTTTTTAGAGCAAAAAAAGCGCAAGATGTGACCCACTTCAAACCTATCGCCCCCTTATCCCTTAAGGCCCGTTCACACAGTTGCGTTCGGAGTGACCACTATGCTTACGAACGAATGCAACCGCTGCAACATCAACGACAACTGTACGCGACGTGTACACACACATGCAAACGCATGCAACCACACGAATAAACAGCCAATGAGAAACGAACTTCAGCTATTGCTCCTAGCCAATACCAAGCAACCCGGCTACGCCTAGAAACATGGCGGACGGTTTCCTCCCGGACGCAAAGTCCTCACCGGAGCAGCCGGAGGTTTCGGCTACGGTGTACAGTCACGAAGATCTGCTGTGCGTCTACAATAACTGTATAAATGCTGGTTCAGACATCTGAAACAAATCCGTTATCCACGACTGCGTCCGTTGTGACCGGAACGACCGCTCTGCGCCGCGCGTACACTCCTGCAACCACTGCAACAAACGCAGCGGGTCGACAGCACGGCGACCGCCTCTTCGCCGCCGTCAGCTGTTTCAGGGGTGCTTCTAAAAAGAAGGGGACGCGCTGCCACTCACTTGCGTAGCAGAAAATAGACAGACCGTCTTCTATGACCTGAAGCTTTATTTATTTTCTTTTTTTTTTTTTCAGAATACGCTTGCAGGGTAGTGCATTCAAAAAACAATAAGATCCAGTACGCCGTCTGGTGCGATCACAACTTTATTACACGCTTTTGCCAAAAGTACAAATCTCGCCACACGCCTTTTCTACGATTATAAAAGACGGTGTAATATTAGCAGGGATATAGCAAAGTAGAAATCAAATTTCTTGATCAGATAGACGTTGCGAGCGTTCAGGATTGCTAACACTGATCACCTTTCTCGTGTGATGAAAACGCGTGAATATTCGTATCTTTTATACGGTACGCACCAGTAATACCTTAAACTTGAGCACACACATGGAATGCGCGAAAAAAGAAATCCGGGCGATGTTCGAGGACACAAATACTAAGACAGCACCACGGGAGTCGAAATAAACAAACACGACGGCACGGGCGTTTCTGTGGTCTAGTGCCGCCACGAGATCGCCGCACGAGTAGGTGATCTTCCCTTCTAGTACGTGCTGGGTTATCATACCGGCACATGACGAAAATTCACAGTCAAGGATAGCGCTTTTACGGGGAACGATGAGCTTGCACCACGCCGTCCACGTCGACGATCATTACCGGCGCCATATTTGCAGATAAAAGAAGCCCGGCACGACCGGCATGCAACGCGCGCGACCGAGCTCTCTTTGACCTGTGAGTGGTCTGTCGTTGCAGTCGTTCCGGAACGTAACAAAAAATTTCAGGCCGGCTCAACTCCTTGCGTTGCGAACGAACACGAACGAAACGACCGTTTGGTGCTTCGTTGCCATGGTAACTCGTCGTTCCAACCGGTTGCATTCGTTCGAAAGCGCAGTGGTCGCTCCGAACGCAACTGTGTGAACGGGCCTCTACCTGCGCATCTAGTAAATTACTAGAGCACATTGTAAATAAACAGCCGGTGTCTTTTAAAGGGGATAACGCTGTCATAGACCCCAACAAACATGGTTTCCGTAAAGACTTGTCAACCGTGACAGCCCTTACGCAATCGACTGAACTGTCAAAGGTCTTCGACAGAGTGCGTTATTGTAAACTAGTGAAAATATTAATAGACCTTTGTGCGTGTCGGGAGCGGGAAGGCGGGGGGGGGGGGGGGGGGGGAGGGGCCGATCTTTCCGGGTGCAGCGCTCAGGTGGGCGTCGCGGCAGGTCACGAGAACGGAAGGGGGGGGGGGGGGGGGGGATAGCGGCGGGCTACCGCCTCAGGTGCCACTGACTCTAGTGACTCCACTACCTTGGTGTTCCTTCTTTTGTAATCAGATGGATTATCGCATATCTCACAAATCGGCAACAATTCGTGGATACCAATGGTACCAATACAGGAATGCTTGATGTATACTCCGGGGTGCCGCAACGTTGTGTTGGGCCCCCTGCTTTTTCTGGTTTACGTCAACAGTTTGTTTGGACTTGTTGTTAACGGCCCCTTGAACATTCGAATGTCCGCTGGTGACTGCGTACTTCATACCCCCGTTTTTTCAGTTCAGGGCCAGATAAAGCTAAACAACATATTTTGTGGAATGGCGTGGTTGTGTCGAGAATATAATATTACAATTAACATCAACAATACTCAGTGTATGCATATTTCAACGAAGAAAAATATTATAAACTTAATTTACGCGGGGCTGATCGTGTCAACCTTGAAAAACCTACAGCTATATAAATCTTGGTGCAATCGTTTTAAGCGATTTAAAATGGAAATATTATACCTATCCAAGAATACTTGTCTAAAGCTTGGGATATGTGGCAGGTAAACCTTTTTAAAAAGCGTGAAATTGTTCAATCACTGGCCGCGTGGGTGATATTTCTCAGATTTCAGGCGATCAACGTCGGTCACGGGACTTAGAACATCAGCAAATGAAAAGCCCATAATCAATATAAGGTCATGCCGGAGTGTTAGGTTTTCTTTCAGATTTATAATAAACTCTTAAAAATTGATAGCTTTAAATACCTAAAAACAAGAACCTTCTACTCTGAACGATAACGTCATTTAAAAATGGTTACTCCAGTTATTGCTCGGATAAATTTATTTGAAGAAGCATTTTTGTGCACACAATAAACCTATGGAACAATCTACCCAGTGACGTTAGTTGTTGACATCGATTAATTTTCAGCTTTTGCAGGCTTCCAGGTATTCTTCTTTAAGTGCTAAGTTGTTTCGACACCGTAGATTTGTTGTGCTGTTTTGTGTATTGATTAGGTACCATCCTGTAACTATGTGCAATGCTATACACCAACCATGCCGCACCAGATTTTGAAGAAAAAAATGCTGGTCGTGTGCAATTGAGCATAGTGCTTAAAACGAGGATGTGCACACAAATTGCTGTTGCATTCTTTCCGGACGAGAAATGTGTATTGTACTCAGATCATTCACTCCGATTTTGGCCCCAACAGGCTGGCAGTATTTATTAATGAAATAAAATGATAAAATGTGAATCACTCACGTTGGCCAATCCCGTCCACTTCTCCGAGTAAACAACCTTGTACCAAAAGCCGACGAAGGGCTCGGATAAAAAGTGGAAGGCCCTGTAGTTTCCCTGGCTGCTGACGTGGAAGAACAGGTGGGGGCGCTTCACGCCAGATACGTGGTACCACCCGGTAAAGCAGAATGGAGCCTGGAATGAACGCCGTAGTATCGCCGATCCCTTGCCCGTAGCATACGCGATGGAACCGCTCTCTGTAGGGAAGAATGAGATAGTGAAAAAAAATACTGAAAAATTAATCAAAGCCATCAACGCTAAAAACTCTGTACACGCTAAATGGAGCAGTATTTGATTTATACAACGAAAGAATCCTCCAATGTCACTCATGGGTAGGCCCAATAAAAGTTTTACAGTTTGAACGTACGGCCATAGCCTCCTATACAATGAAAAAGCTTGGCAGATCGCCACGAGAAGCGGACGCCGAAATGGATAAGGTGGAGCGGCAGACAACGGGTGAAGGGAGAGCCACGTGACTGGCGCCCCGCTGCGGCGAGACGCCCAAAACGTGCCTCTCCTGAACGTGTGTTTCGTGTGTTTCGGGTCCTCACCACTGCAAAAGCTGTGCACTCAGGTCCAGGCTCTCCAAGAAATGGCTTTTTGATGCTCTGTGTTTCCAGATCTTCGCGCTCCAAATCTGCGACCGGGCACTCTATGGCTCCGTTGTAAAACTGACAGGCTTTGTGAGTATAGAGGAGGCTATGGCCGAACAGTTCTTGAATGTAGGAAGCTCACGCTTGAAGCGCGCAAGTGAAGGCCCTATATGCCCTTTTCATTCTATCTATGACTACATATGCGTTCTTCAGTTTGACACAGTTCTTTTCTTTTCCGGACCAGCTCTTAAGGGGGCCCTGCAATGCTATTTAAGGGTCTACCTTTTCTGTGGTTTCGACATCTCTTGTGGTTCGGTCAACCCAGCGGGCACGGAGAGAGTAACTAATGATGAGTGCGTCATATTTTAACCGGACGACGTGGAAGCTTTCTACACCTGCGGGGGCGACTCGTGGTACCGAACAAGCGCGGCAAGGAACGACACCGTGACGTTAAAATACAAAATATAAGTGGCGCGAATCGTTTCAATTATTCATAAAAGTAGTTTTTGTTCAGTATTTTAGATCAGAAAAGAAACAAATGCAGTTTATAAAGTACGCAAACAAGAAATGACCCGTCGACATACCCGGACTAAGCGGTGGAAATTGCGGCGCATACTACCGAGGTGTAGTGGGATCGTGTGCCGACGCGCGGTGTAGACGTGTAGTGGGATCGGGTGCATTGCTGTGAAGCTGCGAGCGTAAAAAAGTTTCCGGATGTAGGCAGTGGCGCTGCGGTCATATGGGCTGGAGGATCCGACTGGTTCCGAGCGTGCGGGCACGTTTAGCTAGCGAATTAACCGTTTGGCGATCTGGCAGCGCGAAGTGGCTCCCGTTGTGAACCGATCTTTGCACCGTGTTTGCTGTCGTTTGAGGCCAATGAAGTATCATGCCGAATTTGTGTTTAGTCGCGCAGCAAACGCAACGCGAGCCGCCCTGGCCGCCCGTTTAATCCTGCCTATCGAGCACACGCTCTAGTTTCGGCCCCTGCAGCCGTTGAGACGGAGTACGGCAGCCGTGAGCACTCGCTGAGCTCACTACCACTTCTCTAGTTCACGGCCACCGAAGCCAGGACCATGGACGTCATAAAGGTGGTTATTTTTTGCTTGCTTTTTGTAATTTATATTTTCCTATGACCTTTAAAATAAAGCGAAATTCGAGAAAAACAAAGTTTGACTAAGTTAAGACGTTCAGTGCGCTAAGGTTCTGTGCATATTGAAAAGCAGTCAAAAAGTCGTTGCAGGGCCCCTTTAACATATGCGAAACTATTTTGGCGTTTGGCATTTCCGTGACACTGCCGCCTAATTTCGTTTGACGTAAGGAAATTCGCGCTGTTTTTAGACTTTTGGCATTTGATTGCCCGTATAACCCGAACCACTGTTGATCCCAATGCGCATATTGTTCGTACCCTAGTAAAAAAAATCATTTGTATGAGAAATTTCTTGTGTCCAATAAACACGTATGAATCATACAAGTTATATAAGAACATATAAGAACCATATAAGCATTATATGAGGACTATATAAAAATTATATAAGATATATAACATCCTCATAAGAAACTTATAAGAAACTTCCCACTAGTTTCTTATATGATGCTTGTATGTTCTCATATATCTCATATAGTTCTTATATAGTTCTTATATGATTCTTATACGGTTCTTATATGTTCTTATATATCTTGTACGATTCATATGTGTTTATTAGACACGAAACTTTCTCACACAAATGAGAATTTCCAATAGGGTACTTGGTCTAATTTGCTTCTGTTGTTTTGCTTCTATGACCAGGTTTTTTTGTTGTTGTTTTTATTTACATATTGCCAAGCTTCGTAGTGTGCGTGATACTGTGCGTAAATAAAAATAAATAAAAAAAGATTACTGGGAAAATGACACACTGCGTTTGCGCACATATTTTGATCCGTCATAACGTTTCGTAAAAAATCTAAAAAAATTAAAGACGTTTACAACACCCTGTAACGCTGAATTAGAGTGCAGCTCTTGAGGAGCAGGAGGGAAGGGTACTGAGGGGAAAGCAACGTTACTGAAACACTCATTTGGGAAACTCGCCGTCGGAACATGGGCCGCTGGCGTCCACCGAGACCGAGCTAAATGCAACAACAGCGCCACTCTTTATCGTTTGTCGGTACTGTGGTCAGCTTGAGCTTTTTAAAAGCCTGTTGTTGCGTAAAAACAAATAAAAAAAATACTCTTTTTGTATGAAATTTATTGGAGTTTAGTACAAAAAGGGGGGCACGTTATGTTTTTAAAATCTTTAGTTTGCAGGGTTTTGCGGCACAATTAATATTGTTTTTATTCAACCATGCCTCAGCCGGCCTTTCAGGTAGCGCGTCCCGCCCTAGGTGCATTTTGACTTCGGTAGTCGAACGCGGCGCGTCCGCCGGGGCGACAGGGGTGGCACCCCTGTAACCTCTACCGCTGTATCTGTTCTTAAAGCCAAAATGGATGTCACGTGCATTTCCTCGAGTGGCCGCTGCGGGAGAAATGGTGGCGTTGTGTTCGTCATTAGCTCGGTGCTCGGAGACAGATTGGGGCCACTTTTTCAAAGCTGTCTCTATGGGAGTTTCCCAACTGAGTGTTTTAGTAACGTTGGGGGAAAGTATGCCTCTCCTCCCTCCTCCTCACCTCCTCCTCGTTATCCTCCTCCTCCCCTCTCCCCTCCTCTTCTCACCCTCCCCTAGTCATCCTCCTCCTCCCACCCTCCCCCTAGTCCTCCTCCTCCTTCCCCTCTTCTCCTGCCCCTCCTCCTCCTCTCCGCGCGTTGCATCATGGGAAATGTCCCATAACTTACCGCGCGGGACCCTCGTGACGTCACTTGTGACTTCACCAGTGTCCCGCGCAAAACGAGGATCCCGCGCGGTGCATTATGGGACATTTCCCATAATGCACCGCGCGTCTATTCCAACGGAGACGGCGACGTCGACGGCGACACCGACGCTGCCCAAGTCGGAAACGGGCGCCTAAGAGCTAAAAAAACAAACGGAACAAAGAAAGCGTAACACGTAATTTTCCCGCTAAATGTAGCGACAAAAGCGAAGCAGGGGCATTGTATGGACCAGCGTCCGGACTCGGAGCCCTAGGGATAAAAAAAGGGAATAATCTAAAGCGCATGCAGGCTCTATTGAAAACAACCGTGTTGCCAGTAACGGCGTTAAAAGTAATGGTGTTACCGGTAACTTGTTACTTTTTTGGTAACGTATTAACGCAGTTGTTACATTTTTATTCAACATATGGTTACGTACTTACGTTACTTATTTCGAGTAACGGATAAGGAGTGACCATCCAAAAAATAATACCCTTCCAATATTTTCGTGCGTCTATGTGCCAAGTTGTATGAAATCTTGCGGTTTTTTTTTTTTTTTATTTTTCTTCCCGTTTTTCCTAGTGAGTATATAGGTGGAACCATACAAAAGGTAAAGTGATTATGTTAAGTTTATGTGTGAACACACTGTTTTTTTCCTAAACATTGCAGTTATGCATACCCGTAACGTTAAAACAGTAAAACGTTTAATAAATAAATGAAATCTAACGCAAAAGTAACGTGCGTTACGTTTTTTAATAACCGTAATAGTAACGTTAATGCGTTGTTTTGTTATATAGGTCGGTAATGCGTTCGCTCTCATTGCAAGTAAGTAATAACGTCTTTTTTTTTCGGTAACGCCTACAACACTGGAAAAGGGTGACTGCGCATGAAACTGGATGTTTGATTTTTACAGCACTCTTGGCATCGGTGGAGTTGCTAGAGCTTCGCGACTATGCATTAATGACGTTCTTGCACTACAATATGCGTAAAGGTTTCTAAAAAAAACGTAGTCTTGCAAGAAGCGCTGCACCCCTACTCTGTCATGGCGTCAACATAAACAAATATGGCGGCGCCCATGTAGCAGAGCAGACACTAATTTATATTTCAGTTTAATTCAGCCCAATAAATTTACCGGGCGAAAGCTCCTTTTGTATATTCTTCGAGAGAGCCAAGCATTAAACCAATTCAGCATACTTTCGTAGCACCCCAGCTTTTTACTGAAATCAAGCAACCCATTTATTTACCTTACTGCAATTTTTATATTATGCTATTCCAACCAGGCGGATTGATTCCAAACCAGGCGTATTTTTTCGGTCGCGCACCAGTCATCTAGCTGTGTATGGAGATATGTGTTTGCCCTTCGTCCCCCTTGTTACCCTTCTCCAGGGGGTATTTTTGTTGGTAACACATACCGCATAACGCAATTTATTAGCACCACCATTGCCGGAGGCAATAAATTTTTCATTTTAACTTACTTTTAAGCTCCTAAAAGATAATGAATTGTGTGCTTGCCTCGTTTTTTACGGAGATAACATAATCCTCATGCCTTGGTGTCGAAAACCTCCGAAAAATACGATCATGCCCGTTCTATTTTTTTTAATGCAACGTAATCTGCGAGTATATGGTACGTCCCTCAAAATAATTTCTTGCAAAAAAAAGGGAGTCGGTATTTTTCTATTCCGGCATAATAAAATATAGAACGTGCTAGGTTGTAATTTTGAGATTTGCGAAGCTTGTTAAAAATACAGCTTCAGAATTGCATCAGCGTAATTCCACTTCTTGACC